TCTGTTTCTAAATTCTCATGCAGAATATCATCATCATTACTACTTACAATATTTACAGGTTCATTTTCCGATTCAATTTGATCTCTTTGAAAATCTTGAACTTCTATGTGATCTTCATATTCTGTGACGTTATCCTTAAAACTAAGCGGTGCTGACTTCTCAACTCTTTCAACTGTTTGCTTACAGTTTATATTCTCGTTCTCGAAAAACACAACATCTCTGGCCTTGCTTAAATGATTAGTTATTGGGTCTATTAAGCGGTAGCCTTTCGATTCTTCACAGATGCCTACATGAATCATTTCTTTAGATTTAGCGTCCCATTTCGTCCGTTTTACTTTTGGTACGTGAATAAACGCTTTGCATCCGAAAATTCGTAGCATGCTTAAGTCTTGCTTCCTTCCAGTCCACGCTTCCTCTGGCGTTTTACCTTTAACTGCAATGGTCGGTGATCTATTCTTTAAATACACAGCGTAGTTCACCGCCTCTGCCCAGAACTTTTCATCTAGCTCTGCTTCCTGAAGCATACTTCTAGCTTTTTCTGTTATTGTGCGGTTTGCACGTTCTGCAACTCCATTCTGCTCGGGTGTATACTCAACCGTTAATTGCTGTTGTATACCACACTGCTTCAAAAATTTCTTCATCTGCTCATTGACATACTCCTTGCCATTATCCGATCGAAGAATTTTTAATTTCTTTCCAGACTGGTTCTCAGCAAATGTCTTGAAATCTAAAAATTTTTGAAAGACTTCACTTTTGTTTTTGATAAAATATACAAAAGTTTTTCTTGTAAAATCATCAATAAACGTTAGAAAATATTTACAGCCCGACATTGAGTCTTTACTCATTGGTCCACATACATCAGTATGAACCAAACCTAAAATATCATCAGCTCTGTTTGCTAAACCCTTTTTAAACGGTTGTTTGGTCTGCTTTCCCATCAAACAAGCTCTACACTGTAAGTTAACTGGATTATTAGTAAAACTTACCCCTGTAGCCAATTTGTCTCTCAGCAGCTTAAGGTTCCGTACACCAAGATGTCCCATACGTCTATGCCACAACTCTATGTCTATGGTACTGACAGTCGAGGCTAGTGCTTTCTCCTGTGAACAGAGCTTAAGTTTATAAACACCATTATCCTCCACACCTGTATATAAGACATCACCAGTAACCTTACATCCATCCGCTTTCAACAGTTCATAGCCTTTTGCTGAAAATACAACAACTACATTCTTCTTTACAATAGCACTCACGCTCAACAAGTTAGTTGCTAAGTGTGGTACATACATCACTTCACTTACGCCTGCAACATTCTCCTTACATACCACAGAACCTTCTCCAATACCATATACTTTACTACCATTCGCACATCCGATTTCCACTTTTTTGTCATACATTCTAACGTCCATTAAATACTCTTTGCTGTTAGTCATATGGCTTGATGCCCCAGAATCTAAAATCCACTCGTCTGGTTTTCCTGAAGTTGCAAGTCCCAATGCTAACGAAGCCTTCTTATTTTTTGAGTTCTCTGGACAATCTCTCGCTTTATGTGGTCCATTACAAATAAAGCATTTTATCTTCTGTGACTTCTTGTATGGAAATCTCCTAGTCTTGTTATGTGTATCAACACGCAATGCTATATCATTACTGCTTGAACTACTAGTGTTATACGAATCTTCCATTTGAAGTAATTTGGTTTTTATGTAATCTGTGGTCAACTCTACTCCTGAGTTTTCAATCGCAAGCCTCATTGGTTGAAAAGTTTCGGTCAAACCTTGTAACATGAGAGCAGCTAGCATCTCATCGTCAACTTCTTTACCGATGTCCCGTAATTGCTGCGCTACTAACATTATTTCTGTTACATAACTCCTAACTGATGTAAATTGTTCAAGTTTTAGGCTAACTAACTTGGTCAAAAGTCTGCAACGGTTGTTAAGACCCTTATCTTCAAAAGCCGATCTCAAAGCGTCCCACGCTTCTTTAGCTGTCTTAGCGTTTCGAACGTGAATCAGACAGTGGGGCTTTACCATCAAGCATATTTTTGCTCTCGCTTTTTGGTCTTTCCTACAGCCTACTACATCAGTTTTATCTGGCGTTGTTTGTGTGTACTCCCATAAATCATCGTGAATTAGATATAATTCTACCAAAAATTTCCAAGTACTATAATTCGAATTTCCATCGAGTTTCTCTATGCTCATACCTGTGTCGTGTGAAGGCTGAGATCTCTCCGATCCATCGCTGCTCGAATTTACCTTCATACTATTTCCTTGTGTAGCCATATTTTAAGTCTTCTTATATTTATCATATGCGGCCCATAACCTGATCGAGGACTAGATAACCTCGATCATATATAATAAATAAAGAATGCCAGCTAATATTGACTTAATATATATTTACAAACAAAATAGAACACATGAGTACAAACAACGTATCTAAGCAAGTAACAACCAAAACTTGAAGTGCATGTCAGTCAGTATATTCAAAAAATTCTGACAACCACAAACCATACGAATAACAGCAATGAGATTACACGCAAATATAAACTCCTAGCAATTTGTCGCTCTAACACTCACAATAACACGTGTAACTCCCGATAGCTTAGCAGTTTACTCTTACGTTTATAATACTCGGTATAGAAACACCAAACTTATATATGAAATAAGCCATCGCGCCGTCGCACGTGAATACTGAATCATGCTATAAGGATTATTTTTGTGTAACGGTTGCCGCGCTCGACACGGGTCGCGGCAGCGGTAGGGTATCAAAGGTCCGAGAGCGAGCTGTCTAAATCTGTTTTCTGCGTCGCTCCCCCCCTGGGGGACGATCGCTTCCGATGAAGCCTTAGAGGCCTTCCCGGCCAGAGGCAGCCCCTACGGGTGTTTTTTAGTCAGTACGAGTCTGACATAACCTTGCAGCCGGCTGTAGGGTATCCATGAGGATTTCTCATCTGCTCCCCCGCCTGGGAGACCGAAACCGTGCTTATCAGCGCGACTTTTAGTCTTTAAATAGTTTATTTGAATTTCTTTTGTTGTTATTTTGTAAAACAGGTATTAGTTGTTTTGGTAGTGTTTAAATATTCGTTCAAATTAAAAATTATTAAGCGTAGGTACTTTTATTAATTAAAGTAGTTATAAGTATTTATTTTTAAGTGAAGGAGGTATAGGTAGATAGTATTGCACAGGCGTTTCAGCTTTATTTTCATTTCTTTTTTGTTGTGAGTTGTATATATTTCTGGTTATAATTCTATAAGAATATTTTAGTTCAAATAGTCACTTAGATTTTATGTGTAAGGTAGCTAAAGTTAGGACCACGTATTAGTTGTTTTGGTAGTGTTTAAATATTCGTTCAAAGTGTAATTTAATCATATAGGATGAATGTACGATGGCCCATCGAAAAGGAGTAGAAGCGGTAGACAGAGCTTTAAGAGATATAAGACAAAATGATCGACCTATGGGCGGTATCACAGTTTTATTTTGTGGTGATTTCCGACAAACCTTAACGGTAATACCACGGGGAATCCGAGCTGCTGAGGTTAGGGCTTGCCTGAAAAGCTCTTATTTGTGGCGTGATATACAATCGGTGCATTTGACTATAAACATGCGAGTGAGAACTGTAGATAGCCCGAATGATCGTCAATTTTCTGATATATTATTAAAGAAAATACCTTCACCAAAGATACCTATCCACTGCTACACCAAGGAAAACTTATTCTGACGCCTGAGTTATGTTGTATAGTGCAATCCCAACAACATCTTACATCGTCAGTTTACGGTGACGTAACAAATATATTAAATAAGAACAATTCTTGGCTATGCGAAAGGTCTATTTTAACTCCTCGCAATGACCAGGCATCTCAGATTAATAATAAAATACTGTCGAATATCCAGGGGGAATGCAAAGTTTATAGTTCAATAAATAGAATGGCCGATGAACAAGAAGCCACTAATTACCCGATAGAATTTTTAAATTATTTAAATATGCCCGTACTTCCTTCTCATGAAATTTGTTTAAAAATTGGCATTCCGATTATTCTGCTCCGAAATTTAAGACCACCACAAATTTGCAATGGAACTCGGCTTAAAGTAACCCAGTTGCAACAAAATGTAATCGAGGCTCAAATTTTAATAGGTTGCGGTGCAGGAGAAACCATCTTTATTCCCAGAATTCCCATAATACCAAATAATTTTCCATTCCAATTTAAAAGAACGCAATTCCCAGTATCGGTGTGTTATGCAATGACAATAAATAAGGCTCAAGGGCAGACCTTTCGTGTTGTTGGAGTAGATCTCGGTGTCAGTTGTTTTTCACATGGTCAGTTATGTCGGTCTTTCCCGGGTTAGCAGTCCTAGAATTTTTTATGTTCACGTTCCGGACGGGTCAAATTTCAACGTAGTCTACCCGGAAGCTTTGCGCTGAAGTATTTTCATTCTATATGTACTTAAGACTCATATGAAAGCGATCTAAACAATATTACCAATACATTAACATAATAACAAACAAGGAGTTACACGCTGATGGTCTCGGGGCACAGTGATAATAATAATATTCTGCGGTTCCTTATTGCGATATTTTTAACAGTATTATATTTCCCTACTAAAATACGAAAGTTAATCTGTCTGTCACATCAAAACCACGGAACCCTGCGGAAGGACATATGCTACTTTTTTACGAAAAACGACGATAACGCGGACGAAGTCGCGGGCAAAAGCTAGTTATAAATAAATAATTAAGAGGTCCTACTAAAATTGTTCAGATATTTTTGAAAAGTTGTATGTTCAGATATTATTGACAGGCATCTGCTCAGATATTATTGAAGTAATGAATGATCAGATATTTATGGTCACTTGTAGTGTATAGAACTTACTGACATTTTAACTGTTCAGATGTATTTGGTCATCTTGTATGCTCAGATATATCTGATGGCGACTGTACAGTTACATTTTTCTTTGAATTTATGGAACTTGTGGAGCATTGCAGAGCGCACATTCATAGCAGAAAGCATGGTAGATCATCATTGACACCAATCTACATCGGAAACATCGGGGGAAACGGTTTCCCCCCCTTGGAAGGTAAACCCCCTTCCCGACCTCAAATAGCGTAATTTATATATGAGCCTGCAGCGAGGGTTAATTGGAACGCAGCTCTAATTCCTAAACATAACGCGTTATGTCAGCTTGACTTTGACAGTTCCAAAGTGGCTTTATAAATATTTTGATCAAGGTTGTTGTAGTTTAAAAAATCTTAAAATTATATAAAAAACCTTAATTTATACATTTGTGCTTCGATAAAATGTGTGAAATTGAAGCATGTCGTATATGCTTGAGAAGTGGTATAAAATTATACAGAATGGAAGTGTTTAATCTTAGCGAATATTATGAGGAACTTATTGGGCACTTGGTTAGTATTCCTAAAAATTTTCAACATGTATTTATTAAGCTATGTAATATTTTGCGGTCTGAGTAGAAAACAATATATGTTAAATAATAACTGAAGTTCAATAAACGAAATTATCTTGGCCTTAATCTGTCAAATCAGGCCTCTTATATGGTGGCTAACTATCTTCTGATATTATTGTAATGTCACTTTGTTCTTCTATTTTTCCGATGTAGATTGGTGTCAATGATGATCTACCATGCTGTTTCTGCTATGAATGTTCTGCAATGCTCCACAAGTTCCATAAATTCAAAGAAAAATGTAACTATACATATAAAACTCTAAGAACACTGCTTCGCAAAGGAAAAGTAAGTTATTGATTCATAATTTGGATGCCGATTCATGTCTAAACAGCCATAATTTAATTTATTTGACCATAATTTCATAATACATAATTATTATACCATAATTATATAATACATAATTATTTTAAATAACTAGTTGATTAAATATTTTTCAGTTAACATATAAATCTATCAATAATGTTATTAATAAAAATGATTACATATTGAAATATGGTAATTTAGAAATATTGACTTTAAGTAAAAGAATTAAAACTTACACAACAGAACATGCTACAATAGATGTAGATGTAAAAGAAAATAACATCAGTGCAGATAAATTTGAAACTCTTGACTGCTACAATGATTACCAATCTGATTATGAAGAATCATGTAAAGACCCTACAATTGATCCAGTATCTGAAGAATTGGAGATTAAAGATGATACATTTTCTAAAATAGAAATTGTCAACACATTTAAAATAGATGAATCTGTTTTTGTGGATTCATCTAAAGAAGAAATCAAACCAAAGCCTCGACATACACTTAAAAGAAATTTACGATTGAAAAAAGGGAATGTTTTCACAGATGATGAAAAAGAATACAGACAACATAAATCGAAAAGAAAATCAAAAGTTGTTCCTTCTGAAACAAAAAAGTACAAGTTTAAATCGAAAAATGGGAATTTAAAAGCATTAGCATTTTTAAATTCAGGTTTTTGGAAAAAAACTAATCTCAGTGAGGAGGAAGCATTGAAAGATTTTAAGGATCGATCCCAGGATAGAAAGTATCTGAAGGCAGCTTATAAATGTGAAGATTGCTATAGGGGATTCTCTCAAAAAAGTATGTTGGACAGGCACATACCCCTGAGACATGGAGAGGTATGGATGAGTAATTAATATTATGTAGCATAATTATAATAGGGATGATGACAATTTTTTTTTCTTTGTGTATCAGGTAGATTATCAAAAACTATTGGACACATATTTTTTCTTTTTTCACTTAATATAATCAGTGCAGAGATATATTGATTTGAAAAGTCGCATGACGTCACATATTGCTACACTTAAGTGAAAATTCACTTAAAAGTGACATCACAAGCCCCTACTCCCACTACCTACCTTTTGATCATCTAACTGGCGGACTTAATAGAATTTCGTTTACTGTACCCCGTCATCACCCCTATTATGAATATTGAATAAAAATTTGGAGCTGAAAAAAAATATTTCCTCTTATTTAACTAAACATTATATTGGTTATTCATCATCATCATCAGCGTATTAATGCCCCCACTGCTGGGGCACAGGCCTTGCCTATGGATGGAAAAGGAAGATAGGGCCATGACCCACCACACTGGCCCAGTGGATTGTGGATTGGTGGGTGCTAATGACTGCAGATGCAGCCAGGACCAATAAGGTGCCTTCTGAAGCACAGACGAGCTCGAGATAATAAGTATTTGATCACCCATTCAATGACCGACCACTCTGAAAAGTTGCTCGACTTCAACCAACACAACCATAGGTGCTAACCAATTGCGCCATCGAGCTCCTCATTAGATAATTTCCTGAAATGAAGAAGAGAATATTGAGATTGATTATTAAGTGAAAGCGTTTAAATTCTAATATTTATTTTCAGGCAGCAGGCTCCCTGTCATGTCGATTCTGCAAAATGAGATTCAAAGCTGCCCACTACTTGAATAAACATATGAGACAGCACTTTACCAAGTATGAATGTTTAAGATGTAATCTCGTCTGCAACTTGGAGTAAGTGAGCTGATAAACTTATAATAATTCTTCTTTACTTTATTATGTTAGAAAAATATACTTCAAACAACCAACCATCTTGGGTGATCCATTCGGATATTTAAACATCAAATTGGAACATAAAATCGATATGAATACTTACTGTTCTTTATTATTTCAGAAATTCTGCTTTGTTCCATGAAGAGTATCACAATGGTGTAATCAGAAAATGTACACACTGTGACAAAGAATTTAGGTAAGATAAGTTTTTTTAAACCTTTTTTTTATTATTAAAATCAAATGCACCTAGAATGTTATAAGCATTAGAGTAGAAACATATATTATGTTATTTGAATAAAAAAATATTTATTGTGAAATATATTCAAAAACTTTAAACGGCTCTCTTTTTTTATCAATTATATAATTGTTATGTTGTTCTACTGGATGAGCGCATCTATTACTCTGTTAGTATCCCATTACAAGTCTTACAGTGATGACTTTAGGACTAGGCTAATTAACATGGGTGTAAGATATATCAATACTAATATAAAAAGCTGAAGAGTTAGATTGATTGTTTGGTTGAATGCACTAATCTCAGGAACAACTGGTACGATTTGAAAAAATCTTTTTGTGTTGGATAGTGCATGTACCGAGAAAAGCTATCAGCTATGTAATATAACGCAACTGCGCGCGTATATATTATACAGATATAGGCTATATAATATAATGGATTAATAGGAGAAGAGCACTATGAAAAATGTTGCAAATCCAGGAAAAAATATTCCATTTGTGCTTCCGTTGTGTGTGCTGTGTATGGTAAAAGTTACACAAAAATCATGTATGATGGAGAGGTTCTTTTTAAAAGTTCTTTAAAAAAAGTCCGCTACGGCTCATGTCTATCTTTTAAGGGTGACCCATAAAATATTTTTCCTAAAATTAATATGGGTGAAACTGCTGTTTATTTATATGACTTTTCTCTCCTCAGACACTTGTCCACGTTCTACACACACTTGAGGACGCATCGAAGCAAGCACATGTGTTCCCTTTGCGGAGAGTCTTTTGTCAGCCAACTTGGCTTAAGGTTACACAAGAAAGTAAAGCATGCCGTTGAAACCGTATGTATACAGTTTATGTTTAAGACGATTATCGCTTCAGTTCGATGCGAATGCAACGAGGGAAACCTCTTCAAAGTACATTGAAACTTTCGTATTGCAATATAAATACAGTAAAACCCGTTTAAGACGATTTCACAGGGACTCGACCAAAAACGCGTCTTAAGCGGGAAAGCGTAATATGCGGGATAGGTAAATTTCGAATACAGATATTGTACGTGTAAAATATTTAAGAATCATGTACGTTATAAAAAATGAAGTGTATTATTATTACGTTTGTATTTAAATTAATCACTTATTTTAGTTTGACAAACATTTTGGGGCATTAACAATTACAAGATTTTTAACATAATTTAACTTTTGCAGTACGTCTTCGCTTTGATTCAAAGAAGTTACTAGCGTTTTATATCATTAACTGCTGATAATGCCTAGGCATGTGACAAAGTCGGAGTTGACTCATCTTGTTTTGATCATTGTTACTGAGGGCATCTTCTTGTGTGTTATGCACATTCTTAATAAGTTTTTCAATTGATTAAATTTTGTACGGTATTTGTATATATATTTGTATTGTAATCAATGGAAGAATATAAAGGGAAACTCGCGTCGCGTGCGTCTCTCGACAGTCGTCACGTCAATCGTTGGCCGCTGCCATGAGGTAGATATATGTGTGGTACCTGTTGGCGATTTAGGTGTAGTAAACGGGATGATGAATCGTATTAAGCGTTAAGAAATGTATGAAAACATGGTCTCATGTTGCAGGGACTGACGCAAAATGGCGTTTTATGCGAGAAATCGTATTAAGCGTGATCGTATTAAACGGATTCTACTGTTTTGTTTAAACGTGTTAAAAGGCGCACTTTATTAAACGGTTTTGTTACGTCTCTGCTTCCAATGCATTATTTTTCCAACTACCCTTACACGGGTGTCAAAAGAGCGGTAAACAAGCGTATGGCCCGCCTGATGGTAAGCGGCCACCATGGCCTATAGACCCTTGCGATACCAAAAATATCACTCGCACCGTTTCCTACCGTCAGAAACACAACACTATCACAATGTAGTGTTATTTTACTGTGATCTTCTGTATGGTGTAGGTTACTCCCCCAGACGAGCGCTCCAATTCGAGCGGAATACCCGCTATGCCCTTCCTCCCATCCTCTCTTAAAATTCCTTAAAGTTAAATCATTAAATAAAAATAAAAAATTAAGTCATAAGTTTTTCTTTCTCACCTAACTTTAATAGGGGCAACGACAGGGTACAGTAAACAAAATTCTATTTAGTCCGTCAGTTAGATGATCAAAACATAATGGACACGTATTTTTTGTTTGGTCAATCAACCATAAAATAACAAAGATAAAGCGCATCAAAGTTTGGGAGTGGTGGTTCGTGACGTCACTTTTAAGTACAAATTGTACGTCATGCGACTTTTCAAATCAATATATCTCTGTAATGTTTTGATTATGTGAAAAAATAAAAAATAAGTGTCCAATACTTATAGTTGAAGTCCCTAAGTCTTAACTAACTTAGTCTTCGTTTATTAATAAGGGGATAGAGATCAAAGTCGTCAGGAATCGAAGATTTGAGTAGTGTTGGATACGAAGAGGCTTAGGTATAAGTTACTCCGCAACTTGGCACTTTATATTTTTATTTGTGATAACTATAGAATTATTGCTAAATGTTTCTTTGTTTCAGGAAAATCAAGAATCTCCCATTAAGGAGAGCACAAATTGCGATATATGTCAAATAAAATTTGATACTGCAGAGGCGTACGATAAACATTTACTGCACTCAGCCATGCATACGGATGAGTGAGTTACTATTATCATCATACACACACCATATCGCTTAAATATCGTTTATATATATTTCAAATATTTTCCCAAGAAAAAGTTGCCTATAACCGTTTCCATGGTCCCGCTTTCTATATACAAAAAATCACCATTGTCGATTCACTTGTTTAGGCCTTTACGCCTAAAAAAGTGAATCGACAATGGTGCTTAAACAAAGAAACAAACTCGCTTTCACAACGCAAACGTAATTACCCACCATTTTATTGTTCTAGAAATAAACTGATAGACGAAAACGTGGCAAAGGATTTCCTCGATGACGTAGATGAAAAAGAAGAATATGATCAGGTAAAGTAATATTATCAATGTGCTTAGGTTTAGAAAATCATGCCAGAATAAGGTTCAATAAATATCTGATAAAATACTGCTCATTTTAATAAAAATCACTGTATAGTTACTATTTTCTCTTTTTCAGAAATCGGAACCTTTAATTAAGAGGTAATTAATTTTAGAATTCATACACATTCATCACATAATTATTATTTATACTTAGGTTAAAATAATCAAATAATATGAAGTCAAGGTATAATCACGGTCATTGTAGTGAATAAAATAACATTAGGTTAATGTTTTTGTTTGCCTGGTGTTTTTCGTTTGTTCCTGGGTCCTTAGAATTGTCTTTACTAAGGAATCTGCTATATAATTCAGAATAAATATTGAATAAATTAGTTCTTATCTAATCAAACCGGCTTCTTGTAGGAAATCTAGAGTTGAAAAAACTTTATCAGCCGTTAGGAAATACTTGCCCAGGAAGACGACTGCAAAGAAACCAACTACATGTCATCAGGTAAAAATCATTTCTATTTCATAATTAGTTAGTGAAAGAGAGAGATAGATGATATGTGACTTTAACGATAAAGTAAATTATTTCATATTGCTCTTTAATAGCTTTTTATAATGCTATAGTTAAAATCAACATCTAGTAAGAATTTAAGAAATTAGTATAAGTAGCGGCAAACTTCTTAAACAAAACAGACACAGACAAATAAACTTGCGCAGTAGACGTTTTCGTATGTAAAATTGCTACTGCGCAGGCTTTCTTGTATATCATCGTTGCTCATAAGCTGGCGTCGCCAGCTAAACATGTCTTCTGAAGTACATCAGCTCGAAACGAGAATTTTCGGTCACCATTTCCATAAAAGGCCTTAGCGAAAGTTATTTAACTTTTACGATCGCAGAGAGCAACGCAACGCAGAATTACCCCTTCGAGTTTCTTTCATGAGCTTAGTTTTCGAAAACTTGTATTGGTTAATAGATTCATAATTCTTAAAAATATCATTATAAATGATAATCATTATCAGCAGCCTATTAATGTCCTCACTGCTGTGGCACAGGCCTTCTCTATGGATGTAATAGGGGGATTGGGCCGTGACCTACCTGCTGATTGGTGGGTGCTAACGACTGCAAATTCAGCCGTGACCAACGGCTTAACGTGCCTTCTCGGAGGAGCTAGGGATATTTTTTTTAAACAACACACACCAATTAGCCTAGCCCCAATGTAAGCATTGTAAAGCTTGTGTTATGGGATACTAGAGTGAGGGATAGAATACATATACAGTACATATATAAGTATGTTTACATAGAAATACATATTACACATCCATGACGGATGTACAAATACTCGTATTCATCACACGAACATCTGCCCCCACCGGGATTCGAACCCGGGCCTCTCAAGTCGGCGACACCATGAAACCCGGCGTACAAGCCACTCGGCCACGGAGGTCGTCAAATTCCATTATAATAAAATCAAAATCAAAAATTGTTTATTCAGTTACAATCACACAAGAATGTCTAGATGCTACGCCATCGGTTCGGAAATCTACTGATTTGAATTCTATGTATTCAAAAATGAACCTTCTTTACTTAGTGCGGCAAACATTTCGAGACGCAATCTGCCTGCATGAAACATCATTTGGCCGAACATCCCCGCACTTCGTTCTTCTCAGCAAAGGAGAGGATCATCTGTGAGGTTTGCGGCGCATCCCTTGCGGTAAGTAGAAATAAATTAGTATTTCTACATGTATGCGATACTATTAGACACCCCGTAGCGTAGACTTCTGGAAATCTTCAGTAAGTTATATATATATATATATATATATATATATATATATATATATGTTTTCAGCATGTTGGTAGATGTTTAAATCTAAAGAAAATTTTATTAGAAAAAGTCCACGCAGATCAAGCAGCAAACGGGGCTGGAACCCGCACTCTTCGCTTAGTTATATTTTTATTTTTTTAGCATTTAATTGCTAGATGTTTAAAACTAAATAAATTTTTGCATTACATTAGGGCCGCGATAGCATAATCGTCAGTGCATCGACCCGTATAGTGAAGGGTAGTGGGTTCGAGTCCCATCTTCTTCCTGGTTAGTGAGAATTTTTTGAAGTTATACTTCTTTAGGCGCGTTATGAAAAAATGATGAGAGTGAAATTTTTAGATGCGCGCGCATCACTGTAACCCAAAAGTAACAGCATGAAGTTAGCCGCGGGCGCGTTATGAAAAAATCATGTGAGTGAAATTTCGAGATGCGCGCGCATCACTGTAACACAATAGTAACACCATGAAGTTGACCGCGGGCGCGTTATGAATGTTAGTGTCTAATAATGGTGGATTATTAACCACTTAGTGGTTAATAATCCACCGTTATTAGACATCTGTTCGAAAGGTACTTTGAATGATCCACGGAGCTCCATAAAATGATCGCGTTGTCAAAAACAATGTTGGCACGCTCGTCGCCTCTGATCACTGTTTTCATATTTATAATATTTATCCACATGTTTCTAGTTTTTATATAGACACAACGTGTTTTAGTTACTTACAAGTGCTAATTACATATGGACTAATAACTTAAATTCAGTAGTGATTTTAATTGAATATTTTGAATATTTATTTAATTTTTCAAATTAACACTGAACTTAATTAACCGTGTTAACTATCCTTTTCCAGTCCTTTTATTATTTTATTGTAATTATTAATTATTTGCATGCAATTAAAAAATATTTTTAATGATGCTAAGGGGTCATCCATAAATTACGTCACACGAATTTCATGTCTTTTTTGCCCCTCCCCCCGTCCTTGTCACAGCTGGTCACATTTGTAAGACTCCCCCCCTCCCTAGTGTGACGTCACATATTTTGCAAATTTACATTTAGAAATCATTGAATGAAAACAGCGGTTCTGTAATCAGTTTTATTTCCATTTAAATTGTTTTTTCATTATTATTATAATCAAATCAAACAATTAACAAAACAAAAAAATTACCGAACAAAAAGTGATTGACTATGTTAATTAAAGAAATTAACAAAACATAAAATATTAATAGCATTATAATTAAATTAAAGATACAAACTTAATAATCTTGAGTCCATGGACATTGATCCCACTCCTTTAAATTATTTATAACTGGCATAGCACCACTTTGTTCTCCTTTGGGTTGTTAATGCTTTCGTAAAGTAATAGTTTCAACACTTAGATTTAAATATATTTTAAAATGTGACGTCACGAAATTTAGGACCCCTCCCACCCCTTGTCACACGATGTCACATTTCCTCGACCCCCTCCCTACCCCTTAAAGTGTGACGTAATTTATGGATGGCCCCTAAAGAAGTATAACTTCTCACGCGCGTACATAAGTTACACGCATCCCTTTTTTTCTGGTATAACTTTCTTTAAATCTTTAGTAAGATTCAAAAAGCGGGGTTCTTAAAAACTGGGGCCTATCTAGAATGGATAAAAAAAACATAAACTCGGTCCAGCCATTTCAGAGATTAGCCGGAACAAACAGACAGACAGAAAAAAATTATAAAAAATGTTATTTTGGTGTATGTAGATTTGATTCTACTAGAATGATTTCGACACTTCACGTAATCATTCCCACAAATTGCACAAAAGCGAGAGGAAAGATGTTACACATCAATAATAATATTTTTATTATGTTAAATTCCACTAGCCCGGCAGCGTGGCAGCTCACCTCAACCAACACACCCGCCGCAAGATGTACACGTGCGACACTTGCGGTCGATCCTTCACGACCAGCACCATGCTAAGGAACCATATGGTGGCGAGTATTCCTTTCAATTTCTGTCTCAGAACGAAGTTCCTTTTAGGATGTTGCGGACTTGGCGGATGGGAGCTAGGCGTTTTTTTTTTTTTATTATTATTCATGACCATGGATACAGGTCCTTCAGTCGTATACATAAATACAAATCTCAATCTTCTTTTTTTACATTAGAATGTCGGTGTGACGCATTCTAATGTTTCTTGGAGTGTTTGGCACGAAATGTATCGAGTTGGTTTTTTCGATAAGCTTCTGTGAGGTAGTCAATACTACAATAAAGTTCTCACGTCCACTTGAGCGGAATAGCGTATTTAAAGATTCCACTAATTCTTCAGTTGCGCAGATGGTTGTAAAACAAAATCACACCAATTTTATTTCACAATGTCCACTGTGAAAGAATATAAGAATAATTAAAGAAAAACCGTCCACGCGTTTGGTATCTAGTGTGCCACAAAGTCACATACATACATGTAAATCCTACCAAAAACCTAGGCAAAACAAAAGTATAAAGTTCTTCCTTCATAACCGTCAGTTGTTTGATAGCGTATTGTGTGTGTACTAATGTTTATTTTTAACTCCGTTCCAGCCGAGTGTTGCTCGACACTCACATTTTTTTTTTTTATACAAAGCATAGAAAATTGGCGTAATTGTGTACTATACAACGTGTATCAGAAATAACGCACTATCTGGAAGTAGTTTGTTATGAATATGGAAATGATAAAATTTCAGCAAGTCTCATTTTTATTTGATCATTTTAAGCAGTGAAATCTCGATGTTAGGAAAATTATTTGATGTGCCGTTGTATTTAAAAATAACTCTATTACCAAGTATAATGCATCATATTCTATTATTAAAACAGAATAAATTAACGTCAATATTTTTTGGGGAAAAAATCGATTCAGAAGTCAATTCCAACCAATTTAATTTTAGGTTGTCCGTTATTTCTGTTAAGCGTTGTATAACGTTAAAAGAACCTGATGTTAAACTCAAAGTTTTTCTTTTCACGCGATTTTTTTTTAACTTTTCTTTTAGGCAGGTAATCAATAGTTATTAGTTTATTGCTGTAACTTTCTCATACTTCAGCCGGTTAACTCACATTATCTTTCTCACTTTAACGAACGTTGATTGTATGAGATGAAAAACGATAAGTAGATGAATATGGTTACTTCTTCCAGACGCATACTGGGGAGAAGAGATACGGCTGCAGCCTTTGCGACAAACGATTCACACAAAACGGCAGCCTCAGTCTTCATTACAGGACCTTCCATCTTAAGCAACCTTATCCTAAGAGGTATAAAAGCTAGTTTTGTTTGTTAATAATTCAGTTTTCCCTCTTGTTTATAAAGAACTACTTAGTTCCTTGCCCTGGCTTTGCATGGTTGAAATTCCTTTTAACTCAGTTTGCATGAGCAACCAAACTCTTACTACTAATTCCTACTAATATTATAAATACGGAAGTGTGTCTGTCTATCTGTCTGTTACCTCTTCACGCTTAAACCATTGAACCGATTCAAATAAAATTTGGTATGCAGATAGTCCCGGGAAAGGACATAGGATATTTTTATCCCGGAATGTATCCGAGGTGTAAATTTGTATGGGAAACCAATTAACCGTGAAAGTACTATAATATATGTTAGGTATATATCATATCGCGGTGGGGTAGGGTCTGCATTTCAGGAATTCGAAGAGTAACCAATTGTCCACATCACACAAGTGGCACTGCGAATGCGATAAAAAAACACAATACAAACTTTATCACCATTATCAACCTATTAATATCCCCATTGCAGGAGCACTATCCCTATCATTATATCTGGTCTTCCCTATGGATTTAATAGGGCGACTGGGCCATGACCTACCACCGCAGCCCCAATGCGAATTGGTGGGTGCTTATGACTGCAGATGCAGCCGGGACCAACGGCTTACATGCCTTTGGAAATACGGAGGAGCTTGAGGTAATAAGGTTTTGGTCACCCATCCAATGACCAACCATTGCGAAAGTTGCTTAACATTCACGATTGCAGGCCGAATGCGCTAACCACCTACAATACAAACTTACTCCATGTTTATCAATAAGGTCCTTAGAGATTTGTCTTTTTAAAAAAACCCATTGTTTCAGGAACAGAAGAAAAAATTCCGATAAACCTGAAGGTGGTACATTTATTAGGAAAGAAGATCAACAGGGCGAGTTTATACAATATTAAGAGCCTGACTGATTTTGTAATATTTTAGACTTTAGACGTTTTCACATTTATTATGCCAGCTCTTCACGTTGCTATTACCATTTGCTATTTTTCAGTTTTAAGCAGGTTGTTCTCATCATATTCTATACAGAATGAATTGGAGAGATTTTTGTCAAGTTTACAAATGGCAAACATGAATAGCCATATAATTCCATCACATCACTTGCCTATTCATGTTTGCTATTTGTAAACTAGACAACTTGACATTCGTCTGTATATTTCATTCTTTAAAAATCATCATAAAGTCAGAATTGTCAAGTTAACAAATACTAGTAGCTAAGCGAAGTGTCGGCATTACAGTGCGGCCAACGAAAGAATGCGACTTGACAGGTCGTGTCAGTTCCTTATGGCGGCAAGTTAGAGTCTATTTTCGGTCCCCTTTTTTTATAAGATCGAAGGTGTACCTACTTTAGGCATTGACTGATTGTAATCTCATTGTATGAATTTGATTTTTGTCAAAATTCTATTTCGTAATATGCATTTTTTCAAAATTTTATTTGCCGTAGAGTGATGCACACTTCGTGTAGTTACTTATTATTAAAATGCTAAAAATATTTTAATTTTCCATAAAAACTAGTTTTCATGTTTTTTTATTGATTAACCGATTTCTCGCTAATTAAGAATTTAACGCACGATATGCTTAATTTTGTAGTGTGAACAGAATGAGCTACTAAAAATTAAATGTTTTTAATCATTCAAAACAAGTATTTTAGTGGCGTTATAATAAAGTAGTGGATCACTATATAAATAGCTCGGTGATTATCACTTCTATTTGTCAAAAGCAGTTAGCGAATAGGCCTACAGTACCACGAACCAATATAGAATTTGAATAGTTTGCGAGTCCGAAATGTCATTGTCAAATTTTGTATGAAAACTTGAACAGCAGCGCCACAACTAGTGTTGCCAGGTCCGATTTGTTTTAAATCGGTACATGAGGTTTAAAAAAATCGGGATTTAGGGTTGCGGATCGGGACAGTAAACAAAAAATAAGGGGTTTTTAAGTCTGTGTTTAATTTATCGCGTTTTAAACTACTAGCGCAAGTACAGTATTATATTAATTACCTAAATTTCATTTATTGATTAATCGGGACATTTAGCATCCCGATCAGGTACAAATCGGGACGCATCCTCAGACCCCTGAAAATCGGGACACCTGGCAACACTAGCAATAACCTACGTAACGAGAACTTAAAATCGGTACACATTTGACAATGACATTTCGGACTCGCAAACTATTCAAATTCGATATTGGTTCATGTTAAGGGTACTGGGAGTCTACTCTCTTTCTCCGAAACGAACTTTCGATATCGAAGTTCAAACGAAATTTAATTTCGTCAATTTAATGTTATACTCTATTTGAACGATAACTATCAAATCGAAGCTTTCTTTGAGTAGGCTTAGAAAATATACACCTCAATCTATATTCCGACGACGAATATTATTATAATTAAAAGCGAACCAGAAACATACTAAGAAAAGTGCCAAGTTTCTATCGAAATTAGTTTTTCGTTGAATTAGATTAGAGAATTAGGTAGCAAAAAATTTATGAATGTACCCGTAGTTTTATCGCTTGTCATCTAAACTCCTCTAACGCGCGATCACGGAGTTCGTCGCGCGACTATCGGAATTTTGCCTATCTTCTGTTAACTTACTGGCATGAGCTGTCAGGATCATATTCCTCCGTTGGCCGCACTTTAGTATTATGTATGTTAACATATTAATTTATATAATATCATATCATAAATTAAATCTAATATATAAAATTCTCGTGTCACGGTGTGCGTAATTGAACTACTTCTAAACGGCTCGACCGATTTTCGTGAAATTTTATATGCATATTCAGTAGGTCTGAGACTCGGACAACGTCTGTTTTTCATCCCCCTAAATGTTGAGGGTGGTTCACCCTTAATTTTTTTTGATATTTTTTTTGTTTTTATTTTTTTATGATAGCATCATACAAAAATACATACAACCCTAAATTGTCACCCTTCTACCACCAACCCCTATTTTTTATGACGGTACGAAGTTTGCTGGGACAGCTATTATATATATAATATAATATAAATAATAGAGGAATAGAATATTAATTCTTATAGCAGAGCTGCGTTTCGTATTTACACTCCGGGTGAAACTCATGGAGTGTTGCTATGGAACGCAACGAGTAATCATTAATAAATGAATAAAAAACAACCATGCCTAACCTCTTTTGCTGTTGTCGACAAGCAAGACCTGTAAACAGGTATCTGTTTAAATGATTTCCAACGCCACTGTGAACATTAAAGAAAATCAATAAAATATTCAGAATTGTATTTTCGGTTGTCATAAAGCACCAAACTTTATGCTTTTCGATGACAATAGTTCAGGTACTAATGTAAATAATTAAACATTTTATTAATATTGAATCATTAATGTACAGATGTTGTAAATGTGCATATTTGTGAATGTACTGCTGTAAATATTAAATTTATATAATGTACTGAGTATAGTCTGTTCCAAACGATTTTAGAGCAAAAGTAAACAAACAGGTACCTAAGTCTGACCATAGACTGTTTAGTGTTGGGAATTCATAGAGCCTTATCAATATCAATTGCACAATTGAATGATCATATTCTTAGAAATTGTTAAAAATCTCTAAGGCTTAATTTGTAACATTAATAAATTTTTATCGTCTTTACTCAAAAACGAGCTCTGGCTGTTAACTGTATTTGGCAATATAGTTGACTATATTTCGTTACTTAATAAAACTCTTTTTAAACGATTGTTTTGCGTGATTTATTAAATATTTTGGTTCGTGGGCTAGCGAGCTCGCAGCATTATCCTTTTGGACGTCCTGCATTCAGTTTAGTTACTTCGTTCAACAGAAGTCAACTTTTACGTTTATTATACAAATGTGAATAATTGTATTTATTATTATATAAAAAAATAATAAATTGCATATGTTGGATTACTGATCAGAAAGAGATTATTTTTTAGCCCATAACCATTTATTTAATCGATTCACTATTCGATTATTAACGTCAATTGAAATAATTTTGAATAGCCTTCTCAATGCAACACTGTTCAAACATGACAACAGACAATTCCCTTCTGCCAAAATAACGTTACTTTTCGATGATTTTTATTAATTAATAAAGAAATTAGTACTTTAAAAGATAATGAATGAATATGTCAAACCTCCTAGGAATGCAAATTAATGTGTTGAAAATAAATCCATTTAGTGATTCATAGTGTGGGAATTGGGAGGTTAAGTGTTTGCTTACCTTTGGTCTTATTCGTTTGGAACATACTATAAGTATTAAAGGCATTACGTGACTGAAAATAATTATAAAATATTTTCTTTTTCAAAAATTGTTTTACTTATATTTCAGTAGATACAAATAACCACTATCCAATGGTCTGTGGTTAACAAAATGCAGACATCTGAGATCTGTCTTTCGCATAGAGCTACTCGACCGACGCGACTCCTGGCCGCGTCGGCTGTATTGCTCTATGGTCTGTCACCTTGAAAAGTGCCTATTCAACTGTAAGAGTAACGTATCTTCCCTTTTTGTTTTAATCTAATAAAACAAAAAGGGAAGAAACTGTCACAAACGCTCTCGAAACGGAACCGCGAAAGTGCTAGAGATCGAATGTGCCAGAGCACCGCGGGTCGCGATAGAGGTCGAGTAACGCGGCTCATTCTAAAATGAGCCTTATGCAGTGCGGCGTAAGGGAGAAAGTGCAACGACATTTGCACTTGTTTACGAGTTGTGCATGTTACCTGCGTAGGTATTTCGTACTCGCGGCTAGCTAACTCTCAATTTAACAGGTACTTTCTAGAACGCTTCGATAAGCGTATATAAGCGCGATTGGCGCCGCGCAGAGACAGTTGAGTTTCAACAGCGATTTCGGAGCGAATCCAAAGGCGATCAAAGTGCAACAAAAGTGTTCAAGTGCGATAGTTTAGAGACTGTATAGTGAAATTACAGTGTTTAGTGAGTGTTTTGTAATTAACATTGTGTGTTAATTGTATGAGCTGTGTGGTGAATAAAGAACTGTCAAGCGTGAACTGGCATATAATTTCGAACCCCATACCGACACGTAACAATACGTTACGCTCATACAAGCATCAAATAAAATATGCTCCGACTCAACTACATAAGCAACTCTCACACACGCACACGTCTATAAACACACATTCAATCGAGCGAGCGAGACGGAACTGTACGCTTCAAATGCTATATTTCTAACAGCGCATTCAGAATTGCGCGTAGACTCAAGGAAATAAGGTCCATAATACTTCTGCATATAGCAATAAGTCGTATACGAGCTTGCATTTCGGACTGTCATAACTCATTGACGCATGCGTTTCAATTAAGACCTTATATAGTATGCATTAAAAATGACTTTCAATGTTCAAATAATGCCTTATATCGTTTTTGACTATGCGATCATGTTACGGAGCTCCGTGGATCGTCCAATGTACCTTTTGGACAGTATTCAGGCAAGATTTTGTTCGTGTTGGTGTATCTAGGGTATTTAATATCGTAGTATGCACCACAATTTAAGTGGTTCACTTTTGAGCCGCTAGTGCCGTATCTTTCCTTTTTGTTTTAATCTAAGACCGTAGGTAAGTAATGTATATAAGTAGAAAAGTTGCTCCAGACTCGGGACAACTTAGGAGATTGCTCTCTCATTTTGGGTTTCGTTACATTTACTCGTACCTGAGGAGTAGAAAAAAACAAAGATAAGAGCATTTAGGAAGGGAAGTATATATCAATCAGCACTGCTTCTAAAATGAGTAGGATGCCAATTACGCCAAGCCTATGTTCACTATTCGGTGTTAATAAAGAAGTATGTTTCTAAATCTGATATAATATTTTATGGAGTTTCATGTGTACATATTACGCAGGAAATTAAATAATATTTATTGGATTTCAAAATTTTTAGTAATGCAGAAAATCTCCAAGGCTATCCTTACGATGTTTTTAAAATTAATTATTCATACTTATATCAGTAAGGTATAGTCGTCACCCTGAGTGTAAATAATGAAAAAAAGGTCTCTGTAGTATGCCTCTTACTCAGTTCGGTCATACTCTTTGCTACCGTCCAGTGTTCCCAACTTAAGAGATGTTCCTTCCATCGTGGGAGAAAATAAGTTTGATGGAATAATAATTAGAGTTCTCAAAAGAGAAATTCGACGCAATCATTAAGATTTCTACCACAGGGACTTTGGTCTGAGCTAATGAACACAGCGTCTTACATATTAAATCGCGCCGCTTTAACTAGAACTTTAGGCAAATCTCCACACGAATTGTGGCATGGTAAGAAACCAAGGATCTCACATTTGATAATAATTGGTATCGTTTGCTATGCACACATACCGAAAGTTAAACGTAAGAAAATGTCAAAAAAAGCTGTCGAAGAGCGTCTAATCGGATATGAAAAAGATGATGGTTATCGAATCTGGCTAGTTGGAAAAGCAACCATAAAATCCAGAGATATTACATTCCTATATGAGGTGGAATATAAAGCAACCAGTGACAACCCACAGCCACTCACAGAATTTGATTTGCGTTAACTCAGGCCCACAAAGTACAGAATTAGAATCAGACCGTAGCGATATCGACGACTGAAGTTGAAATAGTTGCAGCAAGTGAAGCAGCTAGAGAACTCGTGTGGTTGTCTAAGTGATAAAGGTTGTCCGTCACTAACATTTATTTTTATTTATTGGACATTTTTTTATTCTTTTATAATGTTGCATTAAAAATTACATACAACCATAAATTTTCACCCTTAAGTTTGCTGGGTCAGCTAGTGTTTCTATAAAAAGAAATGTAAATTTAAATATGACAGTCAAGTAAAAAATTGTGACAGTCTCTGTGGACTTTCTGAATGTGTTAAATAAAATAAACAAAACTAATAAATAACTTTATAAAATCAAGTGTGAAATGTTCAGTGTATCTAGCGAAGTTCTTAGTCTGCATACTCCGTTGAGTTGAACCACGCTCTGCTACTTAAACGTGAGTAAAACAATCACAAGACTAGTAGGTATCAACAATTATTCTACCAATATTATAAATGTGAAAGTTTTAATGGATTAGGATGAAATTTGGTACGCATATAGCTTATGGCCTGAAATGAGACATAAGAGACTTTTTATCCCGGAAAAATATAAGGTTCCTGGCTTCATTCGGGATTCTCAAAACACTTAAGTTAATGCGGGCGATGTCACGGGCGGCCGCTAGTTAAATATAAAAGTAATAAGTATTTATTATATAATATTATAAATAACTTAATACTCAAACAAATTACTTAAATATAAAGCTATGAAGTTATGTTATAAATGAAAAAATGATGTGGTGTCGTGGGACACCAGGTAGGAACGAAGTTCCTTTGGCTAATGTAGAATCGACACAAATTGCAGGTTTTCTTGATTTTTTTCTTAATTTTTTTTAAGTACAAGAAAGTATTTAGGAAATTCAGTATTTTAGGAAATAATAAATTACTTAAAATAAAAAACATCGTAATTCAAATTATCAACTAAAGTAACAAAATATGTCTCTTTAGTTTTGTTTGACAACATAAAATTACATAGAAAAAACTACTTACTAGATCTCGGTCAAACCAATTTTCGGTGGAAGTTTGCATAATAATGTACTAGATTTTTTTTAGTTTTATCAGTCTCTTATTTTAGAAGTTACAGGACACATTTTACCACTTTGGAAGTGTCTCACTCTGAAACTATTCAGTTAAAAAAATAATGGGTGCGTGTACTTATGTAGGCGCGTGAGAAGTTATCCTTCTTTGGCATCGTTTAAAATTAGTTTTTAATTGCATGCAAATAATTAATTACAATAAATTAATAAAAAGTCTGGAAAAGGACACAGTCAATAAAGTTCAGTTTTAATTTGAAAAAATAAATAAATAATCAAAATATTCAATTAAAATGGCTACTGAATATAATTTATTAGAACATAATGTGATTTGCACTTGTATGAAACTCAAACACGTATTCCGAATATACAAACTAGAAACATGTGGATAAATATTATAAATATGAATACCTATAACTGTTACTTTATTACAAAAAATAAAGATGTGGCTTTTGGTTGTACTACACCAATGGTCAAGAGATGGCGCTGTAGTCTCCTGAATCGCGCTTTGGTTCCGTTGTTCCAGATTAATAAATACTTTTGATAGGCCTTCACAATGCAGTCGTTAGCACCCACTAAATAGAGATTCTATTTCTATTTTGTTGGTAGATTTTCTTAATGTGCGGTAAACACAAAAGTAACGCATTAGCTTCGCTTTAGCGACCAACTTCATGCTGTTAAAATTTTGTGTTACATGATGCGCGCGCATCTTAAAATTTCACTCTCAACATATTTTTTCATAACGCGCCTAAAGAAGTATAACTTCAAAAATATGTTAGAAACCTCAATATCATTTTTGAAGACCAATCCATAGATCCCCACACGTATGGGTTTAATTTTTTTTCCTATTCTAAGGTTGTTTTTCTATTTTTGTGTGAAAATCTTAATGTGGTTCACCGAATATATCTACTTACCAAGTTTCAACAGTGAAGTTCTTATAGTTTCGGAAAAAGTGGCTTTGGCATACGAACGGACAGACAGACGGACATGATAAATCTATAAGGGTTCCCTTTTTGCCATTTGCTACGGAACCCTAAAAATCTTCACTTGAAAACCACTCCAACGCAATAGATTCATTCATGGACTTCAATCAGCGTAGTTTTTAAAAACGCTAATTGTCCATCTTTATCGCTTTGACTTTCTCTTTCGAATCTAAAGAATGACACTTTTCTTCGATATGAGACTTAATATCTCATTTCCAACTGCGAAAAACGCAAACAAGCCATTTATTAAATTGAAAGAAGAAGAATTATAAGGCGAGAGGAAAACCGAAAAAGATTCATAATTTGATCCTATACCAATAACAATTTAATTTGCAGAAAGGATTTGAACCACGTGACATATTGTAGTTAATTTTATTTTATTTCCTCACGTGGCGGTTTGTACGTTTACATTCTTAAATAATGTTACCTAAATTAAATTGAAACTTTTCTTTGTAATTGTTTGAGAGTGTTTAAATCCATTTATTTATCAGTAAATTAAGCAACAAAACGGACTCAATTGATTTACGAAGTAATGAGTATTCGAAATACCAGGATCGCATAAGCTCACACTAGGTATACATTATCAGTCCTACGGAATTCGGCCGCGGTGCGCCCGTGTCGCAACCAGCTGCGTAGCCTAGGTGAATGAGCGGACGTTCGAACTTCGAAGTGTATTCGATTTTTAAATAGGTTTTCGAAAAAGTTTCTAACAAAATAAAAATTCCACGCATGGACACACCATCATATCATCATAATCATAGCACATCATACACGGTACGATTCATACTATTATTACAACGCCTTTAAGATTATGTTGTCCTGGTACTAAGCCTTATAAATATAATCGATAATCCACTACATTATTCGCTGTGAGCTGGAAAGCTGCCTGGTCGTCTCCCTCGCTCTAGAAAGACCTCACAACCACCACCATATGATTTTGATATCCTGGTACTAAACCTGCAAGTATAGACTACTGAATAGCGAACATCGTACTCCGTCACCTACAACTTACTCTTGTACCACCTTTATGGTTATGATATCCTGGTACTTAATCTTCAAGTGTGTACTGAATAACAACATCGTATTTCCTCAATAAATTGCAAATAATTTTGTTGTTGTATCTCAACGAGTTATATAGTCCTGGTAATAATGCCACTAAAACGCAGCACACCACGTCTCATTTAACGGTTTTATTCCACGCATTTTTTCTTACGGTTTTACTATCACATTTTTTTCAGTTCGGTCGCGCAGCAAAATCCCTATCGCCTCCAAGCCTGCCGTAAGGAACTTTCGACCTCACAACCACCACCATATGATTTTGATATCCTGGTACTAAACCTGCAAGTATAGACTACTGAATAGCGAACATCGTACTCCGTCACCTACAACTTACTCTTGTACCACCTTTATGGTTATGATATCCTGGTACTTAATATTCAAGTCTCATTTAACGGTTTTATTCCACGCATTTTTTCTTACGGTTTTACTATCACATTTTTTTCAGTTCGGCCGCGCAGCAAAATCCCTATCCTCCAAGCCTGCCATAAGGAACTTTCGTTCCAATTAAGCCCTATGAGATAAATAATATAAAACTGCAATTATGTTTATCTTAGTAAAAACATGGAGCTCAATATTGTTAATATTAGAAATAGATATTTTGTACTGACATCGCTTTGTCTGCGTCATGTCAAGCTGTTGTTGAAGTTCAACAAATTAGAAATGTTATATGCTTCCATAACAATTCTAATAACTTGATTGCCTTTCTTTTTGAAACGAAGTTCCTATACGTATGGTTGTATTGTACGGCAGTGGCGGTGGGTAGACTTGGTTTAAACTACACTTTTTATCCATTCTACAGCTAGGTGGAAATTCCAAATTTACCTTGTGGGATTTCAAATGGTTGACTTTAGGTTTATGGTAAATATTTTCCTAAGCAGATAACACTGTCATACTGTCAATCTGACTGACTGTTATTGATCTGTCAAAAAGCTAACTAACTTGACACAAGCTTCGTTTCAGGCTTGTTGGGTGTTTTGGTTTTGTATTAAATTATATATATTATTATTTAATATTATAATTCAATTTAATTTCATTGCAACATTGTACTTACTAGTAGAATTAACGGAAGTAATACATAATTATGTTAACATGTCCGATATTAAAGTGTGTAGAATATGTCTCCGGACAGAGGCAAAAGTTTACAAGTTCGATCGATTTCAGCTAATGTACTATTATGAGGAAGTAATGGCATTAAAAGTGAGTAATTTTCACGTTATCTTAAATATTACAGTTAAATATTGCTAAGTATCACAGGCCTTTGCTAGAGAAGGTTTTTTTAGACAGACTTCAAGCATTAAGGGTTATAAAAATTAGTTAGCATAACTTTTTTTTAATAAACAAAGCTTTTTAAGTTTTTTTTTAAGATTAGATTACTGATGTGGGGGTCGGGAGGAGTCCCCCCTCCCCCTCCCCTACAAATTACCCCGAAATTCAATTACATATAATGGAATTAAGTACCGATGTGTTATTGAATAGATAGAACAGAAGCTAACAATTAAGAAAATAACACCACTTAATGTCCCTTAAATTTACACCATACTAAAGATTTGCAAACTGCACCATGCAGTATCTGTATCTTTAAAAATGTTTTGTTTGTTTGTGCCCCTACAGTGGGGGCATTAATAGTCTGACAATAATATTTTGTTTAATATACAACAGGTAAACCTAAAAGATGGGCTGCCACATTACTTCTGCTATGAATGTGCAACACTTCTCCACAAATTTCATAAATTCAAAGAGAAATGCTATAGAGGTCAAAAGGCTCTAAAGGAAATGATTTGGAAAGGAGCAGTGAGTATGTTAAATTACTTTTTGTTTTAAAAATACTTGATAAAATAATATTTTTAAGTTTATATTTTTCACAGATTACTTATGAAGTAGTTTATAAGGTAGACAGGACTGCACTTAATCTTCAGTCACCCTTGGAAGTACTTACAGTTAATAATAGGGTTAAGACATATGTTACCAATGATAGTTCAGAAACAGAAGATATCAAAGAAGAAACAGCACAAGAAATAGAGTATAATAGGAAACTTAGTTACAGGAGCTCATTTACTGACTGTGATGATAATGGTGAGCCTGAAATTGATCTCATTGAGCAGGATACGGAAGATGAAAAACCTCTCTTATCGGATGCTGATAAAGTTGAAATTACTTTAACCCAGGAGGAACCTTGTAGCCCAACAACAGTGTTTATTGATGAAAAGAAACAAATTGTTAAAATGAAGAATGAAACAATAAAAGACAGCAAAGAATCAGTTATAACTATCACTCCGAATGCAAAAAAGTATAGGTTTGTTTCTAACAAGAAAAATACTAGATTTTTAGATGCAAACCATTGGAGGAAAGTCACATTGACAGAAGAGGAAGCTGTCAAAGAGTTTAGGGCAAGAGCTGAAGATCAGAAGTATTTAGCTGCATCCTTTAAATGCACTAGTTGCTTCAAAGGTTTTTCAAAGTTGGATATGTTGACAAGGCATTTGCAACTCAGGCATAATGAGGTAAAATGGATCTCATAAAAACATAGATGTGCAATTGGGAGCCAAGTTCAATATTAAGACTGCATGGTTGGATGACTCTAAAATATCTGCTTTTACAGGCTCTGGGACCTAATGAATGTCGATTCTGTCGGATGCGGTTCAAATGGGACTGTCTTCTGAGGAAACACATGAGGCAACATTTCACCAAGTATGAGTGCCTCAGATGTCACTTGGTCTGTCCTCTGGAGTAAGTAACCCTTTATGATTATTATTTTAAAATCAACTTTCTTTCTTGAGTGGATTTTCAAAATAATATGAGTTAGGTACGGATTATCTAGCTCAGGGGTGTGCAGACTATTTCCATATTGTGCCAATATTTACTATCAGAATCTATGGATGGCCAAGGTTTTGCTCTGGCCACTTACGATATGCAACCCCACTAGAATTTCTAAATTAAATCCAATCAAATTAAAAAAAAACAAAATTCAGTATCGTTTATTCAGTGTAGGCTGTAACAATCACTCGTGAATGCCCCTCATCCTATGGCTCAGCAAGTTAGTAGTAATATGCCTCTGAGTTTGCTGCAAAGTTACGAGCAGGTTTTTGGTGTTTCTAAATATAGTCCTTTTTTGAGAAGCATTGATTTTTGTTTGATTGTGGAGACCAGATTACAATCATTCGAGGGCCAGAGATAGCCCTCGGGCCGTAGTTTGCTCATCCTTGGTTTAGCTTAACTTTTTCCATAATCTCTTTAAGCTGATATTAGGGTAAAAATTAGCTTTAGTCATAATAATGCTAGCTTTCTCTTGAGATCAGATCACGGAAGAGTTAAAGTTAACAATTAGCTCTGTGCACACATTATTTTTTTAATGTTATGTACAATGATTACAAAAATATATTTGCAAAAAAAATGTTGATGGAATATGTATTTTTTTCGTGAAATAGGTAATATACCAGTTTAGTTCTTAAGCATACACTTGTGGTAATTTATTTAGTTGTTGGTTACTTAGTTAATTTGTTTTTTAGGCACACTGCATTACTCCATGAGGATTCGCATAATGGCGTCACAACAAAGTGTATACATTGCGGTGAAGAATTCAGGTGAATTATTTATATACTTATTGTATTTATGTACCTCCATGGTTTAAAACTTCTATTTAAGTTTCTGAAACAGTTAGCTTATTGCTAACATTAAAACATCCAATGGCATTATTTAAAAAATACATAGTATGCAAATGGGTGATATAACGCACTTGAATACTTTATTTGCACTTTGATCGCCTTTGCCCTAAAATCGCTGTTGAAACTGAACTCACTGCTGCGCGGTGCCGATGCATTCTAGAAAAGTCCTATTAAATTGAGAGTTAACTAGCACCCGCGAGTGCGTAATACCTACTTATATGTAGGTAACGCGCATAACTTGTAAACAAGTGCAGATGTCGTTGCACTTTCTTCCTTACGCCACACGACGTAAGGCTCATATTAGAAAGAGCGTGACGACTCGCGGTGTTCTGGTAAAATCTGTCTCACGTATTTTCGCGGTTTTTGTTTCGAGAGCGTTTGTGACAGTATTTTGTGGGTATATTATTTCAAGAAGAATCAATCATTAATAGGTATAACAAGTGCATCACAATATCACGAATATTATTCATGACTGGACTAGTAAGACATTCGTCATAGTGATTGAGTTAACGTTATAAGCTGCCACACACTAAAACGTGACGTTACTTATGACAGCATGGCCAGCATCCTTACAAAATTGTTAAATTTTTAAACACCATTTAATCAGAGATAAAAAAAAATTTAAGTATCTGATCGTGTTATAATATCAAATAAGTTTTCAAATGATATAGGTTTCGTCGTTGCCGGAAACTGCCCACCAAGTTGAAACATCTTTTTTATCTCCCCCCTTTCTTGGAGTGTAGATTAAGATTTAGTTTCTTACTGCTTCTGCAATCTTTAGCACCAATTGTCCCTGGTGTTGCACCAATGAGGCCATGGCCCAATTTTGCTATTCAATCCATAGGGTAGGTCTGTGTAGCAGTGATGATTCTTATTATCATTATAAATGTATTTATTTTAGGCACAGATCTACATACTATACGCATCTGCGCACGCACAGAAGCGACTACGTGTGCACGCTATGTGGTGTATCATTCGTATCTGAGCTCGGTTTGCATCAGCACAAGAAAGTCAAACACGTCACCAATGATATTGTAAGTTTACTATAGTATTATTCACATAGGACAAATATTTTTTTATTTCCTCCAAGTCAGGTGAAATTTTCATGGATATATTGTTTTAAACTTTCATGGTCACTAACATTATATTATAATTATATAATTTTCATGGATACTCAACAGGCAGGTGCAAGGTTATGTCATATACACAGACATATATCGAAATAATTTCACAAGCCAGTTTAACAAGTATCGTGCAACGCAATATACAGTATAGCTTAGAATAAACCTTTTTATTGAATTCTCTGTGTGTGTACTATAAATATACCTGCTTCACAGACACAGCGCTCATCCCTAAGGACCAGTTACACAACCTTTATGTAAGGAAAAAATAAAATTCTTGTGTGAATTAGTTAAACAAACTTAAATCTATATATTATACTAGCTGACTCGGCGAACTTCGTACCGCCCAAAAGTAATAATTTGCAATAAATTAAAATTGCGACTATAATTTGAGATTTAAACTATCCTATCTCTCAAGTTGGATCGAACTGCACATGGTGTGCGAATTTTATTATAATCGGTTCAGTGGTTTAGGAGTCCATTGAGGACAAACATTGTGACACGAGATTTATATATATTAAGATAAGTAAAAGGATTCAATATTTTGAGTGCTTATCGAACCTCCTTTTGTGTGAAGTGAATATGTGTCTCTAGGAGGGTGTGTAAAGATTGGACTTTAGATGTCGAGTATAATATAATGTTGTAGGGTTGCCATGTGATATATTAGGATATAAGATCTGATGGTAGACGCAAGATGGAGGAATCTCCCCTTGGTTGTGGGTTCGGTGGCGAGGAATTCACAGCAATTATAATATTAGTAAAGATAATAATATGATTATTTATAAATAGATAACGCAAGTGTGTGTGTGTAATTTGCTTGCCGAAAGGAAGATCGAATGTTTTCCTTTACCACTATTTTATTTCTTTTTATCACTGTTCTCGATAAGGATGCTAATCGCATTTTTTTAATGCCTAATTTTGCCATAATAATCTCTAAAAACGATAGAATTGAAACGGGTTGCCAGTGCCCATGCTTTTCCACCACTTAATTTCCCCTTAGAATATGTCACTCTCGGTTTTCATACAGTTTGAAGCTCATGCGTCGTCTATTTAAATCTAGGTCTGTAAATAGATTCTTTCTTACCATAGGTAGGAGGATTACACTTATTAAATGCTAGTCAAAGTGACGTATTATCGTTACTTTGATACTGTGTATGCTGTTGGTCGCAGATGACCTTTACAGCGTCATCGGGTTTGGGGACGGCAAGATCCTATGGGGACCTCAAGCCGAGAATTTGCGAATGCCTATAGGGGTATTTCAGGCAGATGTCATCTCTCCTCTCCGTCTGGAACCTCTAGACCACTCGAATCTGAGGGGGATTGGAGACCAGTGCGATGATCCAATACTTATTCAGATGCTGGGTCACCTCACAAGTCTCAGGTCCGCTTGCAACAATTTTGCTAAAACTCAATCTAACTAAAACTAGATAATCATAATCATAATCATAATCAAAATCATTTATTCAGTTTAGGCTGTTACAAGCACATATGAATGTCTAGAAGCTACGCCATCGGTTCGTAAATCTACGGCGGGAGACCTTGTACTGAGAAGAACCGGCAAGAAACTCAGCAAGGGCTATTTTTTTCTCCCTGTTTTATTATTTACAGAGTCGTCAAATTGAAAAATGACTTCAGAGGTGATTCATGAAGTCACTTTTCATTACATAATTATTAAATATACTTACATTAATTGTTTACCTGCATTTTGATTGCTGTGTCATACAGTATAAATACAAATAGTGTTATTTATATTCAGTGTGACTAAACATTAACTTCAATATTAAGGAAGTTAGGGCAGACTCATCTCCGCTGGCAGCACCCGTTCACGAGCATGACGCATGAACCAGCCATCGCTTCGCTCAACCATATTTTAGGGAACGTAACGACCCGCCTCACACGACACCGCCGAAGAGACTATTATGAGAGCATGACTACCCATAACTACCCATACTAACTACAACATATTTACTTAAATTAAGGTCATTTACCAGTAAGACACAACAAACAATTACAAAACAAAGCAAAGGAGAAATCACGACCACGCCGTTTTGTCAATCAAATATTCTTAAACAGTCTGGTAATCTTACTTAAGTTATTAACTTTATATACAGCTTTCAGTTTAATTATAGTATTGTCAACACATAATTCATAATTGAAATCATATAGAAATACCCGTTGGAATGGTTGGAACAGTTCATACCCAAGCATTTTTGTCTGTAATATAATCAGACACTTTATAATATGCTTTCTTAACTAGTGATTTTTTAATGGTCGATTTAAATTTAGTCATGCTTAACTCTTGAATATTGCTTGGAACTTTATTGTAAAAGCGAACACTAAGACCTCTAAACGAATTATTGATTTTGTGGAGCCTAGTAGCAGGTAAAGTTAAGTTATTTTTATTTCTAGTATTATATGTATGTATTTCACTATTTTTAGTAAACAAATTAATATTTTTTTTTACAAATACTAAGTTGTCATATATGTATTGTGATGCAACTGTCAATATACCTATTTCTTTAAACTTATCTCTTAATGAATCCTTAACTTTAAGATTATAAATTGATCGAATAGCCCTCTTCTGCAGCACAAATATAGTTTGAATGTCGGCGGCATTTCCCCACAGTAAAATACCGTAAGACATTACACTATGAAAATAACTAAAGTAGACTAATCTGGCAGTTTCTATATCCGTTAACTGCCGTATTTTCATTACAGCATATGCTGCAGAACTAAGTCTCTTCGACAATCCATCAATATGTGGGCCCCACTGCAGCTTAGAATCTAGTGTGATTCCTAAGAACACTGTGGTATCTACAGAGCTCATATGTCGATCCTTTATATTTACATTAGTTTTTACCTGTTTCACATTAGGTAATACAAATTTCAAACACTTAGTTTTCCCTTCATTTAGCATCAAATTATTAACATTGAACCAGTGGACTACCTTCGAAATAGACCTGTTCACGTCATCAATTTGTGACTCCCTACGTTTAATTTTAAACAAAAGTGAAGTGTCATCCGCAAACAATACTATTTCGTGGTTATCCTTTACAAAATAGGGCAAGTCATTGATATAAATTAAAAATAAGAAAGGACCAAGGATTGAGCCCTGCGGAACTCCCATCTTAACCGACGAACCAGGAGATTTGACTCCATTGATGTCAACCCTCTGAACCCTATCACTCAAATAAGATACAATAAGATCCAGAGTGGTATCTCTAAATCCATAGTGGTGAAGTTTCCTGATTAATGTTTCATGAAAAACGCAATCAAAAGCCTTTGATAAGTCACAAAATACACCTAATGCATCTTGCGAGTTCTCCCAGGCATCAAAAATTTGCTGTACAAGCTCAACACCGGCATCGGTTGTTGAGCGACCCCTTGTGAAACCAAATTGTTTACTATGAAGAATGTTATTACTATAAAAATATGATTGCATTTGATCTAGCATAATTTTTTCAAAAATCTTACTAAAGGTGGGTAACACGGATATAGGTCTAAAGTTTGTGGGGTCAGATGTGCTACCCGATTTATGTAATGGAGTTATTTTACTGAGTTTCATTAGATCAGGAAAAACACCACAGTCAACACATTGATTAAAAATGCTAGCCAAAATAGGAGCTATTGTCTCAATTACTGATCCAGAAACATCCACGGAGTTACCCCACAGATCCGCAGTTTTCTTTTTATTTAATTGGTTGAAATATTTTATTACATCTTTACAGTTAACATACTTAAATTTAAATTGACTAGTATATTGTTTTGTGTGTTCTTTTAATATTGATTTAGCCGCAATGGGGGACGAGTTCAAAGATTTTGTAGTTGAAACTGGAATATCAGTGAAAAAGTTCTCAAATGCTGTAGCAACTTCAACATCTGATGTAACATTTTCGTTCAATGTTTAAATTAAAACTAGTATTTCGAGTTTTAGATTTTCCAGTTTCATTGTTTATAATGTTCCAAGTCATTTTGATTTTGTCATTACTATTCTTAATCTTACTACTTAAATAATTTGATTTTGCTGTACGACATACTTTTTTAAATAACTTTGAATAATTACGTACGTACTCTTTGAAACTTTCACTAGTATTAATGCTGCGTTCATTGTAAAGTTCATAAAGTTTCCTTCTACTTTTATGTATGCCTGGGGTGGCCCACTCGCTGAAAGTTACTGCATCACTAACACATATGGTTTTGGGAACAAAGACATCATTAAATTCTTTACAAAAATTATTAAAAAATTCATTATACATATCATTTGGACTACTTTTATACTTTAAATAACTCAAACTCCTATCTAATTGAATTTTAAAACGCTCTATACGGTTAACAGATTTTGGCACAATAGTAATATATTTCTTGGTGATATTTTTATTTGGATGTGGAAAAGTAATCATCTGGCCACAATGATCACTATCCAGTTGATTAACAATTACTTTTGAATGTGGTATTATATCCGATAGATCCCATACAATAATTTTAACTTGACATTGACGTTTTGACATTTATCTATGGGATATATCTTGATTTAGTTGAGATTCAGTAAACTTGCTGCAAGTGTGACTTTGTAGATAATCTAAATTAAAAGAATTCTTTGTCACCAACGTAGCTCTTAAGTTGTCTAATGACACAATTATGAACTGTCTTTAGAAAACTATTATTATTCTTTTAAAATATCGATGTCTCTAAATGCGACATAAAGGAATCCATTAATTACCTTTAAAGGAAAGTCCAGACGACGATGAAGACGTAAACTCGACGTGCGTACAATGCAACATCACGTTTGAGACAAACAAAGCGTACGTGGAGCATTTGTTCCACTCTGCCATGCACTCGGATGGGTTGGAGTAAGTAAAGAAAATATTCATCATCATCAGTCTATAAATGTAACTGCTGGGGCATAGGCTTTCCCTATGGATGGAATAGGGAGATTTGGCTATGACCTAACGCGGCCCAGTGCGGATTGGCGGGTGCTAACGACTGCAGATGCAGCCGGGGCCAACGGCTTAACGTGCCTTCCGAAGCATAGAGGAACTCGAGATAGAAGATTTTTGGTCACCCATCCAATGACCGACCATTGCGAAAGTTGCTTAACTACAACGATCGCAGCCAAACGGGCCTAATCACCTGCGCCATCGAGCTCCTCCATATACTAACATTATAAATCCGATAGTATGTCTGTCTCTTACCCTTTCACGCTTTCTTTTATACAAGCCGCAACAAATTACCTTATTTGTTTATTTTTGATTTTTTTTCATATAAATATGCATCTATATTATTATTAACGTTTTTACACCCTTCCCCCTTTTCTATGTTCTTACATACTTATTTAATTTTCCGTCATGGGTTGCCTGGAAGAAATTGCTATTAACCAATAAGGCCGCCCATTGTGTAATGTCTCTCTGTCAGTGTAATCTTACTGTTATGTCCTTTGTGGTGTTATACAATAAAGAATATTATTATTATTACCTCCACCCCACCTGATGTTAAGTTTTAGTCTTCGTGGAACCCTTCTCACTAGCAGAAACACAACACTATCAAAAGGTAATGTTATTTTATTGTAATCTTTTGTGAGATGGAGGTTGCTTGCCCAGATGGGCACTCCAATATCACACCTTAACCGCTGGATTGTATAGAGATAATTTGAAGGTAGCGGTGGAACTCTGTTCGGTTAACCAATTTTTTCACGCAGACGAAGTGGCGTGCTCTCACTTTTAGGTATTATTATATACTGGCAACTCGACCGGCTTCGTCTGGTTGCAATAAAAATAATGAGAAATTTCAAGTGTTTCCGCCTGTTTTCCAATTAGATTTGACAAAAAAATAGATTTATTAGCGGACCTTACAGAAATTGTCCTACCAGATAAAAATATGTCAAAAAAACCATATTCGATGCCACCTATCGGGTAGAGTTGTAAGTTAAGTTTTCTTATTTTCTGCGCTACTTTCTGATTTTCGTAAGATCATTCTACATATGAAATCCCTGAAGTCCTTCTCAAGTTATGGCTTGACCAAGGAAAATGGGGAATCATTTTTATAAATCACACTATTATTATAAAGGCGAAAGTTTGTGAGTGTGCTTGTTTGTGACCTCTTCACGTCTAAACGGCTGAAGCGATTGTAATAAAATTTGGTATTTAGTTAGCGGACACCCTGGATTAACACATAGGCTACGTTTCACTGCGAGAAAATTTCCCTAATAAACCGCGGGTAACACTGCGGGGCACAGCTAGTAAAGATTATTTCTAAAAGCTTTATACGCTCCCAGCCACATATATGGGCCCACTTAGTGTTAAGTTTCAACCGTCTGATGCAAAAATATAAGTTAGGTTGAGCATTATCAATGTAGTTTTAAAAACAAACGAAAAATATGGTTTATAAGTCAGCATCACAGTTTGTAGGCCAAAACTTAAAATGCTAGGTGGGCCGATGGATGTGTCTGGGAGTATATTTATATAAGTGTCTATATAACTATAATATATAACTAGGTATACTCGGTGATAAGAATAAAAAAACAGTTAGTTTAACAACTTTTTTATTCTTGCACATTGTTTTATTTTGTTAATTTTCATTATTACATATATTTTAGGAATGAATTGCAAGACGAGTATTCTCTACCGAGAAAAGTGCTTGGCAAAAAGGAACAAAGCAAGGTAGGACAAATTTGTGAACTAATTGTTATAAGTAGTAGGTATTATTTATAACCGTATTCAGCAAAATTATTGTTTCTGGATATATGTACAAAAGTTCACGATAATAGTATAAAAATGAAATTAAAATATAATTTTACAAGTTTCAGTCGGAGAAATAAATATTTATTACAATATGCTCACCAAAAAAAACATTATTATATATTCAGACGACGCGCAGTCCTGAAAAGGCTGCGAAACGTCAATAAATAAATAAAAAAAGTGCATCTAACCCGTTGAAACTTGTTTTATTTAATGAGTGATGTGCGTGAAAACCTAGAAACAAATATGCTCATATTTAAAATATCTTATACTTGGCGTGTGCCATGGAATACTAACATAACGGATAGAATTATGTTTATTAATAAACATAGCAAAGTATATTTTGTAGTTATATATAAACAGTATGACTAATGACTCAATTACACTTGGTCGGTTAGCCCGAATACGATTGCCAATGGCATTCGGGTAAACGACTTAAAGTGTATTTAAGTCGAGTACTCCCGTATTTGGTTGTTTTCGTTTTGGATACCCGTCACCATCTTCCAGCCAAAATTCCAGTGTAAATATTGCTTTGGGAGCCCGAATTCGAGTAATGTCTTTAGTATTCCCGAATATGGGCTAATGACCAAGTGTAATGGAGCCATCAGGTACAAATGTTCGTATTCATCATAAAAACCTTACCATTTAGCGAGACGTTTGATTTGATTTTAAATAAGCACTAAGTTTATTACCTAATCTACTTAGTAGAAGTTGCCTTTTTTGTTCAATATCCTTTATAGGGTTCCTTACCTCAAAAGGAAACATGGAACCCTTAGAGGATCACTTTGTTGTCCGTCTGTCTGTCTATAAGACCCTTTATCTCAGGAACACGTAGCGGTATCGAGATGAAATTTAATCTTTACACTCGTGACTAAAATCCCTTCATGCTGTGATAAAAAATAAAAATATTATAATGTTGCGTTAGGTAAATTATCTCGGAACCATCGGTAGGTGAGTCTGACGAACACTTATCCTATGTTTTGTTGTTGTTGTTACAGATCACCAAAGAATTATTAAAAAGGTAATAATGTGATGTTACTCCGTCCCTACTACACTTTGATTTTATACACGCCTAGGTACAGTATTAACAGCAGTACCCTTAGTACGAGTTTTACAATTACGAAAACTATGATAGTTTTCGTGAGCTCACACTCGTACTAAGGGTACTGATTTCATTGTTTTCGTTTCAATACACATAAACAGTGTTTAAATTCTATCATTAAATCATTTGCGTCTTCTTAATTCTAAGTATATTTGGTTACTTTTTACCAAAATTAACATAGAAACACAATTTACAATTACGAAAACTATGATAGTTTTCGTGAGTTCGAACTCGTACTAAGGGTACAGGTAAGGACCCAAAACGTATCTACTACCAATGACGTATAAGATATAACATTATTGCATATTCAATGGCACAAGTAGTCCCCGCCTCAACTTCCCTTGGCAACAGCCGCCAATAGAGCGCTATAAAGTAGTCTCTTTCACTCTTATGTATAAATCAGATTACATCTCGCTCTTTAGCCTCCACGTGTCAACGGTGTCAGCAACTGTCAAAATAAATAGTAAATATTTTTACATTTATTTCTTTAAAACTGTACTTATGAATGAAATGACACGTGTTTCTTATGTCCCCGTGTAATTTTTGTACTATCTAAAAATACACATAGGGTTTTTTGTCGGGAATAACATTTACACGTTGTTGCGAAATGTAGCCACGGCGAGAGAGCGTGCCCGATTGAATGTAAGTCGGGCAATTACCTGACTAGCATTGCGAAATTAGAAGCGTGTATTACATATCTATAACTATAAAACATAGTTTACTATGTAATATGATAGATACGCTTGTCGCTACACACGCACACATTGATTGCTTTCATACAATCTGACATTAGAGTCCACACATAAACATGAGCCGTTTTCTGGTTGTGGCGTGTGGCGTGGTTTATTTGATTTTCCCTATATAGGCGTGTATATAATCAAAAGCGTATAGGTAAGTCATTTGGCGTCCATTACCAGAAGCGGCGAATGTTATTTTTTTTCTCCCAGAAAATCCGTTGAGGAGCCGATAATAATGCCATTCAAGAAGCGACCAAAGAAACCCAGGCGGTTGAGGCGGAAACCTATGGACTGTCACCAAGTAAGTGTACATGTTCTGTGAAATTGGTTATACTTTGTGGTGTTATATATTTTTTAAAGTTATTTTAACGGACCTGGGGGCCAATCGCCTAACGGAAATGCTTTGGGAAACACTAACGCTTTCGATTTTATATTGTTATTTCTAGCCGCCTGAGGTTTTCGAATACCTCACGCTCATTTTTTTAAATATTGTTATTACCAATGCAAAAGAAAAAGAAAGAGCGCGAGGCATTTGAATACCTCAGGCGGCTAGAAATAACAAAATAAAATCGTAAGCGTTAGCGTTTTCCAAAGCATTTCCGTTAGGCGATTGGCCCCCTGATAGACATTGTAATGCCTGATAAAAATATAAAAAAAAAATACTAAAACTCGACTGTAGCGCTTCTTATTTAGTAGAGTTCTTATAACGTTTTCCGCAACAATCTTCTCAATGTTTCTTAAAAGAAGTGTGCGTGTGTGAGTGTTGCTTATGTAACTGAGTCGGAGCATATTTTATTTGATTCTAGTATGAGCGTACCGTTTCTTCCATTTATGTTTTAAGCTAAGTTTAAAAATTAAAAAAAAACATCTGTTAGCATCAGTTGTCTGTAGATCACGAATGGTTCATTGTTGTCTGTAGATCACGAATTGTCAAGTGGCAACATTCCTTTCATATGTTAAATCATCATCGTCAGCCTATTAATGTCCCCACTGCTGGGGCACTAGCCTTCCCTATGGATGAAATGGAAGATTGTGCCATGACCCACCAAGGGGGCCCAGTGCGGATTGGTGGGTGATAACGACTGCAGTTGCAGGTGCCTTCTAAAGCACGGAGGAACTCTATATAATACATTTTTGGTCACCCGACCACTGCGAAAGTTGCTTAACTTCAATGATCGCAGTCGAACGCGCTAACCACTTGCGCCATCGAGCTCTTCATAGTTTATTATACTTTCATACTGTTGTTGGCAGTGTGGCAAACACTTCGAGACCCAAGCGGCGTGCATGAGGCACCATATAGCGGAACACCCTCGCACCTCGTTCTTTCCCTCTACAGAACGGCATATTTGTGAGATTTGCGGCGCTTCCTTGGCTGTGAGTTGAACTGTTACTATTATTTACATATTTTTGAAGTAAAACTTCTTATGGGACACTATAGCCAAAGAATATAAATGTAACAGTAAGGAAGCTACATACAAAAGCTCGAAATGACACACGCCCACAGACGCACGTCGCTACACGACCCTCGGGAGTCTCGTGTACCGCTTTGAGACGAGCAGTCTCTCTTTTTTAATCGTATTGCGTGAGCTGTCCGCGGACTTTTTAAACATGCCACGAAGGCACAAGGGCGGATCCAGGGGGGGGGGGTCATGGGGATCATGACCTAATAACTTTTGTAAATTAATTTACAAAAGTTAAGAGTGACAACCCTAACGCTCAATCAGTGCGTAGGTATTTATCTCAAAAAAATGGCCTAGTTGCGGTACTGCTTTAGTTTATATAGGGTGAAATTGAATGTTTTAATGAAACTTCGTGAGATTGTTGGGTTACATGTATAGAGTATTCCTGATTTTTTTCGGAATTTTTGAAGTATATTTTTTTCATGTATTTATTTATAATTTGTGTATTTTTATGTCCTTTCCTCCTTTTGAGTAGTTATTCATTTTAAACAAACAAACTTACATATCCAGTGAAAAATAACTAATAAATAAGCACTTCTAAAAAATGAAAAAACATTAAAATTCCACCGCGGGTCAACGACCGACCGCACCCACCAGCCGTTGAGTGAGTAGGTACCTCTACACAGAGTTCAGCTGACTCCTTTGATTCCACACAATACAATAAAGTCGTCTTATGCCTTTATTGAAATAATAAGCACAAATGTCATCTTCTCTTGAGCAGAGAAAAACTTTAAAAGTTAATAATAATTTTGTCACGATTAGAAATAGGCAAATGTTAAACAAAAAGAAATACTTATTGCAGTTCAATACTTGGGTCAGAATAAAATTTATAATCAGGTATTCAAAAGTACTTACGAGACCGATGAACCTATTCATTTTTTTCACTTTAACTTCCCGTATACACTTTATAAACACAATCAATCACTAAACCTACTTTCGTAAAGCCTTGTGGCTCTGCCGAGTATTCCGTGACACTACAATAACAACACACCATATCCAACTTCTTATATTGAGGCCACAGAACAAGAACTAATCAAGGCATTATTTGCAAATCTTCTCTTGTCACAAATTTAAAAGATACGCACGCGCGGTTTATAAACTTAACACTGTGCTCGCTCACTGCGCTTTGCAGGTATTCAACGCATAGGTAGGTATTCAACCGATTCAACGGGCGGGAGCGGTCATTGCTACCGGCCGCTCGTCTTCTGTTTTTACGTTTTTTTTAATAGTGCTTATTAGTTGTTTTTTACTTACTCTGTATGCGTGTTTAAAAAGAATAATTATTTAGTACCCAAAAGGAGGAAAGGATTTAAAATATAACAAAAAAAAAAAGGAATTTTATTTTAAATCATTTTTAAAAAATCCGAAAAAATTCAGAGATACTCTATGTACGTAACCCAAGAATCCCACAAAGTTTCATTAAAACATTCAATTTCACCCTATATATACTAGGAGTAACTAATCCAAACTTATTCTGCGTTTATTAATAGGGGGGGTGAGTTTTGACATGGGAGTAATCTCGTGAATCTATCGCGTAAGTCTTATCATCCTGTAAAAAAATTTCTATGGTTAAAGAGTAGCAATAACAACATCAAGAAGGCATCCGCATTTTTGCCAAGGGAAATATAGCCGAACGGAAACAGACTTGAGGTCTTAAATCAAGTGATCGGTGGTTTAATCCCGAGCTCGTATGCAAATTTTCTAATTTTTAAGTGGATTTAGTCACGCGTCGATCTGCAAAAAAGTTGTACTTCTCTTCGCATTTACTCTATCTCTTTCTCTTCTATCTTTACTTCATCATCATCATCAGCCTATTATTGTCCCCACTGCTGGGGCGCAGGTCTTCCCTACAGATGGAATAGGGAAATGGGGCCATGACCCATAACGCGGGCCCAATGCGGATTGGTGGGTGTTAACGACTATAGATGCAGCCGGGACCAACGGCTTAATGTGCCTTCCGAAGCAAGGAGCTCGAGATAGTAAATTTTTGGTCACCCATCCATTGACTGACCACTGCGAAAGTTGCTTAACTCCAATGTTCGCAGTCGAACGCGCTAACCAAGTGGTTATCCATCGAGCTCCTCACTCTATACATCTATCTATCTGTTTACATTTACGTTATCATCTGTTTGGTTACAGCCGGGCAGCGTAGCAATGCATCAGAATATGCACACTCGCAGTAAGATGTTTTCCTGTGATACTTGCGGACGAACCTTCCACTCTAATGTTGGACTTAAAAGGCATCTAGTTGTGAGTATTATTAGTTAATAATAATATAATTATTAGTTTATATAATTTACAAATTTACAATCGTACTTAGAAACTTCAAAATTTAATACTTCATTGAATTCGTGTTGTCTCATTCTATTGTTAGTGCATAGAACGTGACAGCTTCAACTTTAATCAAACTCAAAAGCTAATTGACTTCTCTGTGTGCGGTCGTTGGTTTTTAGTTGTTTGGAAGCAATTATTTTATAGTAACATAATGACCGTGATGATTTGCTCCTGTCATTATCGCTCCTTTAGATAGAATCCAAGAGACAACAAAGGAAAATAATTTGTTTTGGTTTAGCAATTTCAGTTTCTCAATATTAAAAAAACGTCTCCCCCTTAACGCCCGGGCCGGGCCTTGTTTGTAGTAAAAAGATTTTATTTACATAGTGCGATCCAAACTTTATTGTAAAGTTAGCAATGATCGGCACTATGCTGAATTTCAGTTCAGTCAGTGACATCTAGAGCACATCCAAATGATCCATTCTTTACTCCATACAACTCTGCTCAATGTTGCCAAAAATATCCCAAGTAATATCATGCATAAAATGTGTTGAAAAATAAGCCGAATTCATCCGAAATATAAATGGACTTTATTATCCATTGTACATTTAAAAATGTCGTTCAAACATTTAAATTAATGGCAACACAGATAATCTATTATGGTAAATGTGCATCTTCAAGTTAATAACAATTCACACAATCAAGGAAATGAATTTAACCCAATAGTATTAGCTGTCATCTGTCAGTCAATGACCAAATTGCTTCAAAGTAAAACGTTTCTTTATACGAAGATCCCTATTTTAATTTAGATGTTCTGCGATTTTTATTGAATTTATTGAGATTTTGATGAGTGAGTTTTTAAAGCATAATTGAACATGATTTTTGAGATAATTTGTTCCAATTTACAAAATCGCAATTAGACTCAATTATAGGCAATCAGTAATATGAAAATTTCCATTTGTAATTGTTACTATATGTTGACCCGACTTCTTAATAATATTCGTGCCAAATTTGAAGTAAATCCATGCAGTATTTTTTGAGTTTATCCCGGACGTACATACAGACAAACAGACAAAAATTCTAAAAACTATATTTTTGGCTTCGGTATCTATTGTAGATCACACCCCAAGTATTCTTTTAAAAAAATATTCAATGTACAATTTTGACTTTCCTACCATTTTATTATATGTATATGTTACCGGCCAAACCCGATTTCAGGACAAACTAGTTTTGCCTAGGCTAAACTAGTTCTTCCTATACGCGGTAGGATTAATTAGTATAGCCTAGTCTAAACTAATTTGTCCTAAGCCCGATAGGATAAACCAGTTTAGCCTAGGCCAAATTGGCCAAAGATCCTGATATAAATACGTACACTCTAGATAAACTAGTACGGCCTAGTCTATACAAATTTAGCAGAGTCGAAAGTAATTGAACAAATATGTCAGAACTTGTACAGGTTGCGTCATGTAAAAAGAACGCTGGAAGAAAGTGGAGGGAGTGTGTATGCGCATAGATGCAGCTGCAACAAAAACTGTTTCATAAACAGTTGCCAATGATGGCACTGATACTCTGCAATTCAAGAAGGCAAGAAGACAATGATACTCTGCAATTCTAAGTGGCACCAAAGCACACCATGTAAAAATAAATAACAATTTTAATAATTGAGATATTATTATTGCTTCTATTAAAAAAACACATATTATTTGTTATAGTATGATTGCTTTTATTACTAATTATCCAAAACTTTTAACGATGAATCATTATCGTTTTAATAAAAAATATTATTTTTCCAATTACGGAGTATTTTATTCATTTTATCTATTTATTTTGACTTTCTAGATATACTATAATGATTAGACTAGGCCATACTAGTTTATCCTAGAGTATGCGTATTTATATCAGGATCAACGACTTTGGCCTAGGCTAAACTGGTTTATCCTATCGGGCTTAGGACAAATTAGTTTGGACTAGGCTATACTAGTTAATCCTATCGCGTATAGGAAGACCTAGTTTAGCCTAGGCAAAACTAGTTTGTCCTGAAATCGGGTTTAGCCGGTAACATATAGATGAAATTGCTAGTAGCGACATCTGTAGTTACGATTTAATTCCGTCTAAACAGACACATACGGGTGAAAAGCCGTTCGCTTGCAGTTTGTGCGACAAGCGATTCACACAAAGCAACAGTATGAAACTGCATTACCGCACCTTCCATCTCAAACAGCCCTATCCAAAAAGGTAAGAAAATAGATAAAATAATTATATAAGGTAATATTTGAGATAATATATGTAGTTTGATCAATATGATACTCTACTCAATACTAAGGCTAGTCGTATGTGACTCCAGACTAGACTAGAATTTGCGACTTTTTTGGGCAAAAATATATGACCAAAATCGCGTTGTACCCAACCGCATTGCACAACTAGTTGTGCCACGGGTACATGTTTTAAAAAATGTCGTCCCCGTGGCACGTCTATGTAGTTGGTTTATGGGTACTTTAACAAATCACTGATTCCCGTAGTCCAATATACCAACCAACCGCATTGCACAACTAGTTGTGCCAAAGGAAAAGTTTGCCCACGTAACTAACACGTCCAATTGTGATATTTAAAATTTAATATTTATACTGTTTCTCATTCCTATTACATAAGAAGAACACAAGTTTTACTTTAAACAAGGAGTTTCGAGTGATCCATTAAAACAAAAAAGATTTTAAAAATATCATTAGAAAACCAAACAAAACCTAACATAACTTTATGTAAATAAGAACTTATAGGTATTCTAACAAAAACAAAACATTACTTACACTAGTATTAATAAACAAGTAATAACTTGCTGCAACTAAGTCATCATTGATACTACAATTCTTTAATAAAACAAATAGTTACTTAGAAATTAGTTACAGCTCGCGCCAATTAGAAAAAAGGACGTCAGAAGTGACGGTAGACATTCTGTCCCTCTCACACATGCTGCCTGCTAAGTAACATGCGGGAGATATAGAAAGTCTTGCGTCGGCATTTTTGATTCGTTTCTGGTAACGCCAAATATTATTAAATTATAAATTCATGTTTTACGTCATTCGTTGAAAACTCGGAAACGTGTACATGTTTCAAAAATGTTGTCCGTGGCACAACTAGTTGTGCAATGGGATTGGCCCATGGGTACTACGGGGCCACAATAACGTCATAAAGTAAAAGATACCATTTTCACTTCTCTCATCTTTCGTTTCCTTTACATTTACGACTTTTAATTCTTTTCACCTTCAAATGCGATCATTGCACAAGCACTTGTGCAGGTCAATCAAACACATAACACTTTTGGGATACCAAAAGTATTAAGTATTTGTATAAGTATTACGAAGGTATATAACTGACTGGCTGACTTTGTAATTTATGTAGCTACGTTTATTTCAATGTAACACGTAGTCTTGCTATAAATATTGTTACAAAAAATATTTAACTATTTGATTAATTAATATATATAATTTGTTTGATGCCCCACATTTAATTGCATAATCTTTGCTTGACTTCTTAACTTTTACTATTTTAATTCGGTAATTCCATGTTTGTTGTATGCAAAGCCGTAAAATGATCTCTCGCAACTACGCGAGCTCTGACAGTGAAAGTCTATCGCTGTCGGCAGCCGATAGGTTACCGATTGATTCGTGGAGCCCTTCCACAGACCACCGCGAGGGTCGATTTTACGTCGTCAAGCTATAGTTATTTATTATTTTCCTACAGAAACAGAAGAAAAAAGAAGGATGAGCCTCACACCACGGCCGAAGATATGGAAGAGTCTAAAAGCGACGAATCTTCGGACGAAAGTGTGCCCGAGCAGGAATTGCGACCTTTGACCGAACCGGGACTCGAACCCGTGCCCCAAGCGATGCAAGATCGAACGCTGAATGAGGACAACATACACTATTTGACGCTGTCTTGAAACTGTTGTAAATAAAAAAAGATTGCGAAGAATTGAAAGACCCCTCAGTGGTGAAGTCCGACTCGCACTTGAGAGATGCAAACGAGCCTTGTGTATGTTTAACTAAACATAAATAACAGTAAGTGGCTGTACAGGATCAGTATCTTTTGCCTTTGATAAATGCAGTAAATATATTTTATACTACACCTGCTCCGAAAGTGCTTAAATCTTGTTTAAAAAATTAAGCATAATTAATTAATAAATTTCTATTAAATGACAAAACAGAAAGTATTGTTGAACATTAGTAGGCACTGTAGCCCCCTTATTAATAAACGAAGAATAAGCTTGGATAAGTTACTCCATGTTTTGTCTCTGTTCATTGAATGAGAAATGGCATTTGAATGATATGAACAAAACAAGGCGTAACTAATCTAATGACTCAATAACACTTGGTCGTTAGCCCGAATACGATTGCCAATGGAAATTCGGGTAAACGGCAAAGTTTAAATGAACGGAATCAAGTACGCCTGTATTCGGGTAGCTTTCGTTTTGTTTACCCGACACCGTTTTGCAGTGTAAATATTGCTTCGGGTACCCAAATTCGAGCAATGTCTCATGCGTTACATTTACGTTGCATGCGTTACGTTGCATACGGGCTGACGACCAAGTGTAATAGAGCCATGTGCTTATCTCTCGTTTATTAATAAGAGGGTAGGAAATTTGATAAAGCAATAAAAATAGACCTAATAGAATTGGTGTCGATTCTGACATAAACTTAAAATTTGACAGCAGCGTATCCTTGTCATTCACCTTTTTTCAAGGATGAAAAGGAGAGACTGATGTCAAATTTAGTTTTAAGTTTAGAGAATCATGCCAGATATACATGGATAAAAATAATTCAAAATTTTCACAGATATTGGAACTACTGTAGATAACATACATGTTGATTAGACTTTATAACACGATTTGGTAACTATAACTTGCTTCCGTCTGGGGAAGTAACCTCCATCATACAGAAGGCCACATTATATAACACTACCTTTCGATGGTGTATTGTGTTTCTGTCGATTCTTTTATAAAACATTCCATTGACGCTGGGCGTTGCTGTATAGTTACGTTTGTTGTAGCACAATCATATTTATTATCATTTAATCATGAAGCAATATTTGTAAATATTTGAAATTGGTTATAGTGTAATGCCGGCAGTTCACTTGGATATTCGTGTTTGCTATTTGTAAACATGACATCAGTATGTCCTTTTTATTTCTTGTAGAGTATGATAAGGACAGACTGATGTCAAGTTTACAAATGGTAATGAGTATTGTGTACTCGTGTGAAGTTATGATGTGATTAACGAAATTAATTTATTGTGGAGGATTTTTGTAAACAGATGATGAAAGGTTTTGAACTATGGACTGTAACTTATTTTCCAATCTTCAAATGCAATCATGTTATTACAAAATGAAGTTTCTTTTTACGGAACTTTTAGAAAAATGACTTTTTTTATTGAGATTCCTAAGATTGAAGTTTTGACATGAATTTTTCAACTTTACGCGCTTTTATTTACGGCATAGATTGGATCCAGCAGGCTGTTGTTTTTGTTTTCATAAAAATAGCCATTTTATACCTTATTTATTGAATTGATAAATTAATAATATTTATAAAAATGACTTTGGACTATTATTTACCCATTATAAGTTAATGACAACGATAAAAGTATACACCGTGAATTTTGAGTTACCTTAGAATCTTAAATATAGTACGATCAGTTATAAACAGCAAACTTACTACACCCCCTATACAAAAATGTTGATTAATATCGTTCAAAAATATCCTAAAACAGCGCAAAGGAAACAACATACCTATAATGGAATTATTATCCGTTTAAAGTACGTAGATCCAAAAAGTAGATATTTATTTGAATCAATTTATAACAATTAAAATTCTTAAGGTTTATAATTGCACCTATAAGTGAATTAACGTGCGGAAATGAAGTAATAAAAATTAACAGAAATTTAACCTAAATCTTTGTCTGTATTAGCTAGCAGTCTCAGTAACTCAAAATTCACGGTGTATAGACACCACGCGTTAAACATGTATATAATATACAATCTTTTCTTTTACAAAAAAAACCTATATACCTTTGCCGCTTTTCACGGCACTGTACTGACATTACGTCTTTAAATCTGCCCCTCTAGCATGACCACCGAAACGGGATATGATAAGGCATGAACTGTCAGACTCCACTGTAGTCTGACAGTTTATTCCGATATATCGCTTTATATATCCATAACATATCCCGTTTCGGTGGTCATGCTAGAGGGGCTCGTGCTGAATCTATTTTATCCAACTTCTACATTGTTCCAAATTAGGTGTGTAAAATAAAGGAAGGAAATTTGTGTTTACATTTTATTTATATTTATTTTTGTTTGAATGCAATCACATTTCTATATACACCAAAAATTGAAATCGTCAACTGTAAATATAAGTTCTATCACTAACTGATCACCTCTGCTATTCAATAATAAATAAGCGCGAAAACGTGACAATTTCCAATGTCATTGAATAATCACATTTATTAATGCAAACAAAAAGTACGTTATACCAAGAACTATGCGATGCGGGTTCGAATCCCGTCTGAAACTTGGACCGAGGCGATTTTTTTTTTATAATATTTTCTTTACATTTAAACATCTAACAAGGAAATGCTTAAAAAATATAACTTAATAAATTCTATATGGATAAAATTTCTACCATGGCTGGATAGCAAATACATTGTTTAGCATGTCTTTATTAATTCCTTATCAAAGAAATTGATGAAGTGATTTTTTTTAAATGTTTAACTAAAGATTGAATAATCGAGAAACTGGTTTGAAATAAATCTTAATACTATAAAATCTTTACATTTCATTTTTCTCACTAAATAATGCTTAAAACCCATGAATCTCATAGTTAAACCAAACAAAAGAAAGAGACAAACGAATGTCACTTCGTAAAATTTTTAGGTATACAGAGGTGAAAATTGAGTACACATCTATGCTAAGTTATCATAATATAATTTTTAGTCTAACTCTTGGGTGCCTCTTGCTTCTGTGATTTTTCCTCGGAATGTTCAGGCCTCCTGCCAAGTAGATCGCGTTTGCAGCATTTATCAGTCTGCAAATAAATGGTGTCGTTGATTTAATCAAAATCTGCAAATACATATAAACGAAGCGAATGAAATAAGACGCCTATTGAACGAAAAATTCGACTCATGCCCGCACTTCACTTGGCTATTCGTGGTTGGTATTTGTAAACATGACATCAGTCTGTCCTTTTCATTCCATGTAGAGCACGATAAGGGCAGGCTGATGTCGTTTGCAAATAGCAAACACGAATAGCAACTGAAGTGGCGGCATCACAGAAAAATATGTCTAGTCTGTAAGTCTATCTAGTAATATGTCATAATTTATTTTATTAGTCTAATGTATTTCTATATGGGACTATGAGTTTAAATATGTCCTTCTCCAAAAACGATAAAATAAAACTACGTCGTCTAATACATACATCACAAATATCTCTTCGTGCTTGATTACTTGTTATCTCTTAAAATATCGCAAAACCAAATAGAAACCAAATAGATATACCGAATATCATCCACTAATCCGAACTGGGTCTGTTATCACCCATAAATCCGCGCTGGATCCGTTATCGCCCACCAATCCGATCTGGGTCCATTGTCACCCACCAATCCGCGCTGGGTCCGTTATCATCCATCAATCCGGACTGGGTCCGTTATCACCCACCAATCCCCGCTGGGTCCGTTATCACCCACCAATCCGCGCTGGGTCCGTTATCACCCACCAATCCGCTTGAAAGAAAACTTTCTTTTGGTAATGCTTGCTCATAAAGGAGGAAGAGGGGTGAAGTTAATTTTCAGCTCGAATTGGAGCGCCAGTCTGGGGAAGTAACCTCCACCAGACAAAAGACCACAGTAAAATAACACAACCTTTTGGTGGTATTGTGCTTCGGTGAGTAAAGTTCCGGGACTTCACGTGGTATGGGATTAGTTCAGGGTAGGCAATGGGGCTGGTGATCATTTTTGTATCGCAAACGTCTATAGGCTATGGTGGCCGCTTACCACCAGGCATGCCCATGTATTTGTATGCCACCCTTCTAACGTAAAAAGAAAAACAAACGAGCGACCCTTACAGTAGTCGCGTATGATGTGCAACATTTGAAAGCTCACCTTATATTAGTAAAAAAAAAGAAATAAAACCTACTACAAAAGGAATAAGCCATTTGAACATTATGTTCTAAAATCAAAAAGCGCACGCTTCCCAAACGTCATTTTACACACTTCCGTCCCATTTCACAAAATCACTCCCACAAATTGCAGGAAAGCGAGAGGAAAGGTGTTACACATCAAAAAAATCCAACACACCAATAAGCCTAGCCCCAAAGTAACCACTATAAGGCTTGTGTTATGGGATACTAGGGTAACGGATAGAGTACATATATATAAGCATACTTTTAAAGAAATACATATTAAACATCCATGACTAGAGTACAAATGCTCGTATTCATCACACACATCTGCCCCCACCGGGATTTGAACCCGGGACCACCCGAGTCGGCGACACCATGAAACCCGGCGTACAAACCACTCGGCCACGGAGGTCGACAAAAATCAAGATTAACATTAATATTTGAGGAGCTGGCGAACAAAACGGTATAATAACATAAAATTAGGAGCTGTATGAAACTTATTGACACACCTACAGTGAGGTTTTGGCATGGATTTAAATTTATCAATTTAGTAGTCTTAACACTGGTTTAGGTGGTTTCGATCGAAAATTATTTGAGATTCAAATTCTACAGGCCCAAAATCTTCGGACTGCAAAAAAAAGTAGTTTGACTAGATGCGTAATTATACCGTTTTTTCCCCAGGTCCTCATTTATTCCTACTGCACAATACCGACCTCTTCATAGTCGCTGGAGTCGTCGGTGTCGCTAGAAGTGTCCGTAGCGTAATGGCCGAGTCCGGGCAACACTCCCACGCATCGTAAAGCACCGCATTCTTCACCAATGCCACTTATAACTGGTGGGCTGATGCTAACTGCTTGAGTTTCACTACAAAAGTAAGAGATTTTAAGACTAATCATAAAAAGAAGTAGGGCACAGCTAGGGTTACCATCCGTCCGGATTAGTCCGAACATATCCGGACTTTTTGACAATAGTCTAGATTATTTTAATTTACATTGAATATGAATAGTAAAAGTACATATTGATTTAAATACCATACCATTGTAACTTAGTGAGTAATGGTACCATTTTGTGACTAAAAAGTCCGGACTTTTTTCGAAATAAATAAATATCTCTAACACTCACACCAATTAGCCTGGCCCCAAAGTAAGCACTATAAGGCTTGTGTTATGGGATAATAGGGTAACGGATAGAATACATATACTGTACATATATAAGTATTTTTTTATAGAAATACATATAAAACATCCATGACTGGAGTACAAACGCTCGTGTTCATCACACAAACATCTGCCCCCACCGGGATTTGAACCCGGGACCTCTCGAATCGGCGACACCATGAAACCTGAAAAATGTCAGGATTCTTGTCAGGACTTGTGAAATTCCTACATGATAACCCTAGGCACAGCGGATTTTCAACTCGAATTGGAACACTTGTCTGGGGAAGCAGCCTCCAACTTACGGAAGAACACAGTAAAATAACACTACCCAATACTTGGTGCTGTTGTTTCTGCTGGTGAGAAGAGAAGGGTTCCAGGACTCCACGGGGTAGGTGGTTGAGTTTAGTTAGGCTGGCAAGGTGTGGATGACTGGAGCGGCTCTCTTCTTCATCTTCACGACTGGACTCCACTTACACTTAACATCAGGCGGAGTGGGGTAATTTGTTGTGCCTCATATAAAAAAAAATAGCATCAGCCTTTTAATGTACCATGTGCCCCAGGCACAGGCCTTCTCTATTTGATCACTATTACTTCTATTCATTGGGCCATGACTCACCACGCATTAATGGGTGCCAATGACTGCAGACGAACAGAGGAGTTTTAGGTTTTAATTTTGTAACCCATCCAATCAATGATTGGCCATTACAAAATTGCCTAACTTCCAGGATTGCAGTTTATAAAAATTAGTAAGGGAAACTTCGATCAACAATTCTATAGATTTGCATTCGAAATCAAAGCTAAAAACTATCTGTGTATGTTTAAACTTACGTAACTACATTTGATTCCCAAAAAACAAAGATAAATGTTAAAATTTTATATTTATTTAGCTTACTGCGCGAACGCAACGTATCCGAGGGGCGAGGGGTTATCTCAATCGGTAGCCTGGCTCTTGGGAATTCAGTCGCTATGGAGCGTTTCTCGGGAGCAGACCGCGCGTTGTGCGTCCGAGAGTTTTACAAAAACGCTGATTCGGCGACTGTAGCGAGTAGAAAATTCTCTCATTCGAAATTGAGTTAAAAAATTTGAAGATACTGGTACAACGCTGGATAAATCAAAGTCCGGGCGACCTAGGTCATCAAGAACGGTAGAAAAAGTGGAGAATGTTAATCAGTCTGTTTGTGACGATAAAATTTTGAATTTTCCACTAAATATGAAATTTCTTTTGAGATGCCTTGTAGTTTAAGTTGGACCTAATAACAACTATCTTACAAAGGAATAAGGTTACAAATAACAAAATGTTATTTCCGCACATACGACCTTTTATCTTATAAAACGAACTCTTGTTCCTTTTATAAAACTATATCGGATACTTGGGAAAAACCATAAAGGAAAAAAAGGAAAATATAGGATCAACCTTATGGCCCACAAAATAAAATATTTTTACCAGTCATTGGCATTGGAGTTGCTTCGTACTGTATTAACCAACTTATTCAGAATAAGATCTCACGCCTCTAGTGAGGCTATATTTACCGAGACGGATTTTACGAGCTGACCCATTATCTACAGAATTGTTGATCGCAGATGGGAAAGCTCTAAGTAGCTGTAACAAATAAAGTGTGGCAACGTTTTTAATTACCTGTCACTGGCAACACCATTGATTTTAGTTAGGGGAGCTTCTTTATCTTTTCCATTGCCATCCAATTCACTTGCCTTCCTCTTCCTTACAATCACCTGAAATATATTATGTATAAACATAAGTGAGTTATGAGTAATGTGCGTGAAAACCTAAGAAAAAAATATAGATTTCAGTAATATTGCCTGGATCTTTTTTATATCTTTTAAATAAGAAGTTTTCTAAATGTTGACTTTGAATTATAAAAATAAGCTTAAAATTTGTTTAAATAAAAAAAAACACTATTCCCCTTACTATTAATCAAAGAATAGGCTGGGATTAGATATCCATGTTTTGTCTCTATTCATTGCATTACAAATGGCATCCAAGTGAAATGAACAAAACATGGCATATCTACTCTAAGCTAATTTCTCGTTTATTAATAAGGAGGTATGGTTGTAACTACATAATTTAAGATTGCTAATTATCAGAAGTCATAGGCTAACAGGTTCGGAAGTCTTATTTTGAAGAGTGACTGGTCACAAAAACATCGCAATCATATTAAAAAGATATTCCATTACTCACCCCTTGCAACTTATTCTTTTGATTTTGAGCAGCAGGCGGAGCATTGCGTGTTGGTGCTAATTGTGCTCGTAGTCTCAACATCTCTTCACTCTCTGCTAAGTTGGAAACTCGCTCCCTGAGATATTAATTTAATGAATGAGAATATTTAAGTGACTTATGGCTGCATTCAAAGACTATAATTGTTTTTTAAGTGTGATTAAAGCTTATGGAATTACTTTTATTGAGATTATGATCGAGTAAGGCAACTTGTGATTTCATAAAACATTTCATATAATTGAGATCATTGAATGCACATATAAAGCTTTATTGATAAAGGAGGACGGGCATTTTGGTATCCAATTGGTGTTTGGTATCAATAGCGATGAGTGATATATCATTGAATACCTCTTTTCATGTAGAATATTAGTTACTATGGCGGCATTCTGATATTTGTTGTACGTTTTTAGTTTTTCCAGAAAATACCAGAACAATTTTTGCAGGTAATAATACCATTATTTATTATTACATAACCAAAAAGGGAAATCGAGTCACTGAATCAAGTACAGAGTTGAATGCGGGATGCCATCCCCTCTCCCGCCCGTATTTAGGCAGGTAGACAGAAGGCGCGGGCGCGCATTAGTCGATCGTTTGTACTGGGCGTGAGACTACGTTCGTTCCTTCTTATATCTTTCATCGTTATTTTTACCTGTTTTTATCGTTGATTCCGGCTTTCTTATGGACTTGTGTTAACCTGTTTTTATCGTTGACCCCGTTGACCCGCGGCTAGAAAGAAAGCGGATGAACCATCGAAGGGCAGACTTCATACGACTTGAAGCAATGCAAGTGGAGAACTTCCCCCAACTAACTGAAGAAGAACTCATTGTGCTTGCTTTGGGCACATTTCAACTCAAACTAGCCAGATCTTACTGTAGGGAGCATTTAAATAATGATATACGATAGAAACATATAGAGAAAATGCATTGGAAGACTTGCCTGAATACGGCATAGATCAAAATATTTGTTTGTTACGAGGACGCATCCGGTCTCGCCATGTTCGAGCAAGGACCTATTACTGCTACGTATTATTCAGTAGTAACGACTTAGCTTAGAATAATAATTATAATAATAATAATAATATTTCCGACACTCACACCAATTAGCCTAGCCCCAAAGTAAGCACTGTAAGGCTTGTGTTATGGGATGCTAGGGTAACGGATATAATACATATACTGTACATATATAAATATATTTATATAGAAATACATATTAAACATCCGTGACTGGAGTACAAATGCTAGTATTCATCACACAAACATCTGCCCCCACCGGGATTCGAACCCGGGACCTCTCGGTTCGGCGACATGAAACCCAGCGTACAAACCACTCGGCCAAGGAGGTCGTCAATATAATTGACTAATATAATTGAATTATTAATTATATAATGAATTATAATAATATAATTCAACATTATTGTACATGTCTAATTGGTAGACGTACCATAGGACCTTGTGCTCACATATTATCAATTATATGGTACCTAAGCTATGCCAGGCACGCCGGATTCGTCGCTCCTGCACTGTTCTTAAATAACATCCTTATTATAGATAATGAATAAAGTAATTACTCAAAAATGTGTTTCTTTCACTCTGCCTCTGGATAAATGCATACATAGCAAAGTTAAATTAATAAAAACAAAAAAAAAACTTCTATTTGGTTATTTTTATTTTTGTTAAAAAAGTTTTTTATTAAGTGTTACCGTCATTGGCGTGTCTAGGGTTATTTTTCTGGGGGGAGCTGGGCCCTGACTTGAAGAGTCGTCTGAAGTTAGTGATTTGTATTATAGAATTTCGAATTGGTAGTCTAACATCCTGGGGTGGGCACAAGACCGTCCTGGGGTGGGCACGGCCCACTCGGCCCCCCCAATATATACGCCTATGGTTACCGTTCAAGATAACAAGCTAGTTATTGTTTTTTTTTATTATGTTTTTTACCATTTTCTTTTATTAACGTTCTCGTTAAAGATAAACATTAAATAGTTCACACGAGGTTGTATTGTTACTAAGTCGGAAGGCACTGGTATCTGCAATACAGTTTTTTTAAACTATTGTAGATATCGACGGTCTAACCTAATGCCTATTGTTAATACTTACAACACTGCTAAAATAATGTAAATACTAAAATGTATAACAATTTAAAAAGAAAAACTTTTTTTTATTATCTTTATATATATAATTCTTCTGTGAGTGTGTATGTCACTGAACTTCTCTTAAACGACTGGACCGATTTTGATGAAATTTTTTGTGTGTGTTCAAGGGGATCTGAGAATGGTTTAGATTCACAATTTTGTCCGCTGGACAACCCCTATTTTTTTAGGGCGGTACGAAGTTCGCTGGGTCAGCTAGTTTATTATATAACTCTGTTTCGACAACGTATCAGGGCAAGCGCCATAGTAGACATGATTGCATTCAAGTAGACCTTTCAAATGGTATGCAACACATCTCTATTGGAACGGATACCAAGTTCCATACATTTTTGCCCATCATCCTTTGTTGCATTCAACATTCCTAACTTACTTCAGGAATAAAAAACAACATACATACTATACAGTGTTGCTTTGAATTCAGACAAGACTCAGATTATATACAGTTTGAAATTAAACTAGAAACAGAGCCAGCACAGGTGACACATTTCCCCGTTTTGTCAATAAAGAGTGGCAATAATACAATCCTACTTTCTACTAATATTACAAATGGGAAAGTTTGTATGGATGTTTGTCCAAAAATTTGAAAGTTGAAGTTGGACTTTTACACAAAAACTACTTGAACTGATTTGGATCAAGTTTGGTATGCAAATAGTTTATGACCTTGATTGAGACATAGAATACTTTTAATCATGTAAAAATGTTAGATTCCTGTGGGATTCTCAACTTGAAGTTGACATGGTAAAAGTCACAGACGTCCGCTAGTAAGTCAATAATCACTAGAAAAGCTATTACCTGAATTCTTGCATTTCCTTCTGTTCCTCCAGGGATATCTGTTGGGCAGCTTTAGCTTTAGTTCTTTCCACTAGATCAAGAAACCCAACTTCATCATCATCCAGTCCTTTGATCATGTTTTCTGTACATAGAATATTGTCATAAATTAGAAAGCATTTTTTTATGTTTTAAAGGATGGCAATCAAGCTTATGGCTAGCGGCCACCATCATAGCCTATAGACATGTTACAAAAAATATTAGTGTTTTAGTATGAAGGTTGGTTTTAAAATAGTCAGGTGGGAAATAAAAAAAAACCCTTATTCTATACAGGAATTATGCAGCAAATATTTTTTGTTTACATACTGAGTTTGTGAGCTTCTTCATATTCAGCTTCTCTCTTGAGCCTTTGCTCTTCTAAACGCTGGAACAGTGGCCTTGTGTCATAAGGCTCTTCTGGAGCCTCTGCAAATTAAAATATACTACTGTTATCTAATCGTTAAACATCAACAAAACCAACAACATCTCTATGAAATAATGCCTTCCTAAAATAAACATGTAAGTAGTTAAAATCTAATCTAGTTATTGATGCTTTGCTGCTGTGAAATAGTCACCACATTTTTGGCCAATACTAAATACACAAATAGCAGTAAAGTTACAAGTTAAAATAGATACAAATATTTCTTTTGTCTTAGATAAAAGATAAATAACAACACAGGGTACATTTGAACCTTATTTTTCATTTTACCACTGGATTTCAATGTAATCACTTTTCTGTATCTTACACACTCTAAGTCCTAAACGTACGCGAGTTGGGCTAGTAGGAGTATCAACTTTATTTAGAAGAACTACTTGCAAGGATTTACAAATGTAATATCTAAGTTAAAGCATAATTACTGAAAGTTATCGTTGACTTTATGTTCACCTGCTGCTAGAGCACCTAATTATTTATTATTAAATTGAATTGTTGGAAAAATTAATCGTAATAAGATGGTTAACCTACTCTTACCTTGAGGTTGATCTTCTGTTCGTACTTTATCCCATTCCTCTTGACGACGCCGTCTTGCTTCTACGATTTCAGTTTCTGAAATAAACCCTGAACTCATTTTTATTGCGGTTCTTTCACGTTGCGATAAATAGAAGATAGATAAATAGAAGTTATGATCAAATCAACACACGCCATGCAAGCTTCAGCAAATTATTGACAGTGACAGACAAATCAGACAATGACAGACCGCGAAGTTACGTTCCGTACTTCCACTCTGGGTTATGTACCGATAATAGGCTAGTGGACTCATGTCGAATTGTATTAAATAAATGTTTATTTCTTAAAGTATTTGGTCTAGACAGAAGAAACCTAAATATATCGATTTCACTTCATAAAAGCAGAAGATTGCTGTAGAAATTTATTTTTAAAAATATTTTTTAGTCTATACTTTTAAAACACTAAAAACGCTGCTCGCCACATCCGCCATGATTGTGATGTCTCTTTGATAGTAAACAACTAAACGTCATTCATACATAACCTTAAAACTTGTATTATTAAAATTGATAATAAATGGACAGACTTAAAATATTATTCAATTTTCTAAACCTAAACTTAAATTTGGCAGCAGTATATCCTTGTCATTCTCTATACAGAATGAAAAAGAGAGACTGATGTTAAATTTAGTTTTAAGTTTAGAGAATCACGCCAGAATTGGCACCATTGAGTACTTACATCAAAGTGCTCTTCGCAAAAATAAATTTTACTATGAGTCGATAAAGTTGCAGGATCCCTTTTAGCAAGTTCTAACTAGGTATTGCGTAGATTAATTTCTTTCGGCACTATAATCCACAACTTTCCTGGAGTCTTCAAGGATGTGTTTTTACATTCTTGTACAATACAATTATGATAATTACTATATTTTTCGTGGTATATATTAGAAATCATGTTTTTTTTATTATAGGCTCAGATAGGTCATTTTCTACGTGCTTATGAGTTTTTGTTTACTACCAGTTTTGGTTGACGTCATAGCATAGAAAATCTATAGACTAAGGTAGACAATTACAGCACTAGTGCGCATTATGCGGAATTATTAATTATTAACGTTGAATGTTTCAACTACAGCAACGCTTCGCACAATCGAGCACTCTCAAAAGTAATTTTTTCGTGTGATGCATGCAATCGTACCAACTCAGTAACAGAAAATTACGTGTTTTTTCTTTAAGTTGGCATTGATCGAAATGTTATATTTATCGTTAGTATTATTATTTACTGTTAAAAATTTTTTAAAGCTTTCGTTTCATTGTAGTTATTTTAAAAAATTAAAGTTAATTCAAACTGTGTTAGAAAAATGAATATAAGTATGGATGAAGGTAGAAACATTGACTTTTTTTTCAACACTGAACTTAGCGCACTCTGCTGGAGCATTTGAAAACTCATGCTTAATAGGCTAGTTGACCCTTTTTGGAAAAAGGTTTTGTATGTCCATGAAAAACTGACTTTATAATAATCAAAAGATGATTTCTAATAAATACCCCGAAAAATAAAGTAATTATCATTATTGTATTGTACGAGAATATAAAAACACATCCTTGAAGATTCCAGGAAAGTTGTGAATTAAAAGTGCCGAAAGAAATTAACTTACGCAACTTTATTACACTTATTCATATGTTGTATCAGTTTTATGTTTATTACTACATTGGTGTCGATTCTGGCGTGATTCTCTAAACTTAAAACTAAATTTAACATCAATCTCTCCTTTTCATTCCATAAAGAGAATGACAAGGATACACTGTTGTCAAATTTAAGTTTAGGTTTAGAGAATCGTGTCAGAATTGACACCATTGTTATACTAAATACACTGTACTTACATAGATGCCTTGTCGTTTCTCTGCTCCGCAGAGCAGAAATCGGAGTTTAGTGCAATAAATTCACCAACCATGGATGCGTCAATTCTTGGCAGATTTATGCTTTCTGTTTTCACAAAGCCGGCATCCATAATTAGTTTTTTCAAAAAAAACAGTAAACGGAAACTTTTCTAAAGTTAAAAGTTTAAGATAATTTTAGTCAGACGAAAGAATCCACCCACAGTCCCACAGTAACACGCGAATGACATTTAGTTGTTTACCATAAGAGACGTCACAATCATGGCGGATGTGGCGAATAGCGTTTTTAGTGTTTAGAAAATATAGACTAAAAAATATTTTTTTAAATTAAATTTCTACAGCAATCTTTTGCTTTTATGAAGTGAAATCGATATATTTAGGTTCCTTAGACCAAATACTTTAAGAAATAAACATTTATTTAATACAATTCGACATGAGTCAACTAGCCTATTCGGCATTGTGCGCCACTAAATCGTATTATGCTCTGTAATTGGAAAACGACCTAAAATGGCCGACAGCGTTTTTGTATGTCCATGAAAAGTCTATATTAAAATTAAAGATTTGTAGCTTTCTGGGTCTCAAAAAAGTACAATACATTATTTTTGGTCTAATAGAACATTTATTAACCATTTAAAACCTGTTTCCAAAAAGGGTCAACTAGCCTATTCCGTTTTACATGCGCAGTTAATTTGCCAACCCAACCAAAATGAGAAAATCAGAATAGAGGTATTTTATTACATTATTTGAATAGTACGTTCAACCTAACAACGCATCACCTATCAGCCGCCACATTGTGTCCAAAAGGGGCTCGAACTGTCTTGTACGGTAGCTGGACCCGCCACTATTTTATTTTGAAATCGCGTCACACAAATTTAAAGTGCTATGTTCTATCTATGAGTAGAGATATGCCGAGTCAGGCTGACTCGAATACCTAGCAGGTACTCACGTACTCGAGTACTCGAAATATTGTATTCGGATCCACAGTACTCGAGTACAGGTTTCGAGTACTTACGGTATTCGAATACTCAGTTGTTGTACTCGTACAGTGAAGTAAGTAACGTGAAGTGTTGATGAGTCGGTGCAGGTTTGAACGTGTCTATGTTTCCTACTCGGCCGATCAGTTTAATGAGATGTTAACAAAAGTCTAATTACATATTTGTTTCTTATAAGTAATTACCTATTTTAATAAGTCGAACTCTCGGTTACCATTTTAACTGTAGTATTTGTGTAAAGTTATTTATTTTTTAACTAGTGACTTTGTGATAGAATGGCTCCGAAGAAAATATCCAAAGTATGGAATTTTAATAATATTTTTACAAATAAAAAAGTGGAGTGCAAAGAGGGTAAAAAAACATTTGTTAATTTTGGAAACACAACTTTATTAAACCGTTTGAAAAAATACATCCTTTGATTTATATAGCGATAATAGAAAAAAAAGGAAGCAAAATGAAAACGTAAGTTTGGATGAAAGTTCTGATTTGGACTTGGAGTCATTAGTTAGACTCATTAGGATCGACATCTACAATTCAATCAAATGACATTGACCAAGTACCAGCAAAAAGTCGTAAAAGACAAAGACGACTTTTTTGTCAAAAAATGCTATTCAGGTCAACTCGAAGAATATAGACCGGGGAGGGAGGAGAGACCCGAAGAATTACATGGGATCCGATTAAAATCCGATAAAAAAAATACTCGAGACCAATAAGTATACGAATATTCGTGCTAGTACTCGAATACCTATCCGAGTCTTCCGAATCGAGTTTTAATTTGAATCTTTTTTAATGAGTACTAAAATACCCGAATACAAAAAAAAAACCGACTCGGCACATCACTATCTATGAGAAGATGAACAATTATGTCCAGAATATGGTACCCCAAAGTGTCAAGTTGACGATGTATTTGAAGGTAAAGATAGACATACGGGTCGACAACGAACGAGAATCATTAAAAATAGACTTAATAAGTGACTATAGGCGTTACATTGTAATCAAAATATAACTGTTCCAATATTTATTAAAAAAGAAGGCACGGAGAGCGAGGAAAAGAGACTACTATATAACTGACCATGCATTTGATTATTTATTACAAATATTTTATTATCTACCTATGCAGAATTATCTTAAAGGGTTGATACAGTTGAAATCAGATCTTGTGGCACTAGATGACATTGACAAGGGGGCCCTGCTGGCTGGGTATATGGATAAAAATAGGTACATAAAATCACTGCACTTAAGCAACGCTTCAATTTGCTATGTTAGGTTAAACATTAATAGAAAATACTTATTAACACGTTTCTATTTAAATAAAAGGGTTATTTTCACAAGATCTTGGTCGCACACTATCTCTTTTCTCCTGCCCATGCCTACACCTTGGATGCAATTTTTTACCCAATGGCCGTTAATTTATTTTTACCCATGGCCGTGCCGTGACGTTCAGAGCGTAGGTTGGAACTTAGCCCTGAGCTGTAATCTGTCTAGGGATAACCTATGGTCAAACAAATGTCACTGTCAATGTCATTGTCAAATAATGCCGCTGATGTTCACAAAGTAAAGTTAGATTTCAATTAGAAATTTTACATTTATTTTACTTATTTCGCAATTTCGGATAAAGTAAATCATTTTTTATAAGCTCCCTTAGCTAATAAAGTTATTTAAAGAAATGTCAGAAGTAGAAAATAAGGATACAGTGGCTGAGGAAGGCCAGAAGGATTACGTAGAAGACGGAAAAAATAAATTGATTGTAAAGTGTAAATTTTGTGGTTCAAAAATATTAGAAAAGAAAACTGCTAAATATGTCGCACAAGAGGTAAAATACTCGTATAAATTTGTTTTTATTTTTCTTTAAGTCTCTTATTAAATATATTCCTCTAAAGAAGGTTGTCTTTCACGGTTTACTGGCAAAATGTAATAAATTTCAAATTGTAATTGATTTTCTTTACAGAAAGAATTGCCGCTAATGCAGCAAGATGTTAACAGGAAAGAAGGAGAAGTGCAGAAGGAAATGATTATTGAATACTATCATGTTGATCACATGTATACTTTCGAAAATATTGGTTTCACTCATCCTGTGGAAAACCAAAAGTATTTAATATGTGCAGACTGTGACGCCGGACCCATAGGCTATTTCGATATAGACAGTAAACATAGTTATGTGGCTCTATCTAGGATTGTTCACTCTTAAATGTGATAAACTGTATTAAAATATATTATTTGGACGTGTCTGAGAATGTTTGGAATCAACTGAGCTAATAAGAAAAACATAAATGTAAAAAGAAACAAAAATTATATTTACATTATATAAGTAGCTCCAAAAATGTTGTAAGAAATAA